GGTGGTGGTGGTGGTGGTGGTGGTGGTGGTGGTGGTGGTGGTGGTGGTGGTGGTGGTGGTGGTGGTGGTGGTGGTGGTGTAAAGACAGGTAGCACAGCGCAATCGCCGCCTAACTCACCCGTTCGGCCCAAGCCGCCATTCGTTTTCGGTTGAGGATAGACTCAACGCTTGGCGCAGCAGAACTACCACTGGTCTCGGCACCGTCGCCAGTTGAAATCGGCTCGACTTTCTTGATGGCGGGTGGTCTGCCACGGAGTGGTTGCGTGCGCCTCCGCTGAGCGAGTCTGGGGGGAGAGGCAAAATTTTTTTTTCCGTAATGGAATGAAAAGCTTCTCATTGTAAAAGTGGTCTTGGTACCATCGAATCTGATTCCTACACGTTAGATTGCAAGAACCACCTACGCAGACATGCTGAACCATTCGAGGCCGTGAATGATAGAAAGGAAAAAATTCGAGCCGATAGGCATTAGAAGATAGGGCCAGTGACTGTGGGTGGCGAAATCCTAATGGCACAAACCTCTTGACGAGTTCTTCGTCATCTAGGAGGAGGGAGACCATTTCCGATTGGGTCATTTTGCCTTGATCTCCACGATCCTGCGGAACAAAGGAGTCGCCCGACGAAGAATCGCCTGAGATGACCATTCGTTGCATCGCGCGTTTCTCTTCTGCTCTTTGTAACATCCTCCCTTCCACGGTGGACTTGGAGATCAGACGATACACTGTGATCTACAATTGAGGCGATTGTGGCGGTTTCACCGACAACTACAACACTGCTCGATTACAGGACGGTTGGAATGATGAGTCTCTTGGATTATGACACACATTAGTCATGAGCAAGGGAAAAGGAGAACTGGGCTTAGGCAAATCCTTAACTCTCCCTTCAATCACACGTATATGTATCTTGGATTAACCTCACACCTAGGTCTCGATGTTAGCACATGTATGACTCACACATCCGAGGTCTAAATAGCCAAGTACTCACATGCACCATTGTAAACACAAACAGCTTTAACGCAAACCAAATCCGAGTAAACCAGGAAAATGAATCCATCAGATGTCGTACAAGCTAATTAAATGTACTGATTTGAAATTCTTAAATGAAAAAGATCGCTCGAAACCTTGCTTAGAATTTGGCTGCAAATTCTGTAGCTTAAAGAGCGAGAATTAAAAGCAACTTACAGCCTTCAGCTGACCCAGTCGATGCGCTCGATCCATAGCTTGCTGGTCTACGGTGGGGTTCCAGTCCGAATCATAAAAGATGACGGTATCAGCAGCCGTTAGGTTGATTCCCAAGCCGCCAGCTCGTGTGGAGAGGAGAAAGACAAACCAGCGCGGGTCCGTCTGCCACTGGGCAACCATGTCTCGGCGGTCTGAGAGGCGCGAGGAGCCGTCCAGACGAAGGTACGCATATCCTCGATAAATCATCAATTCCTGAAAGCGGAGACGAGCGCAAATGACCGCAAACGTGTGCGTAAATGTTTGGATAAGACAATGAAGTCGACTACTTCTCCAATACGGAATACGACTTGACCGTCTGTGTGGAGTGATGGTACAGGTGAATAAACTACATAAAATTGGGTTCAAAGATAAGTTGCTTAGGCCAACTTAATGGTTACACGCCAACTGAAATCACCCCAAAAGGAGTTCCGTTTTTTATGACGTGAAAAAACCACGACTTATACCTGTTCGATTCACGCACAAGCGACGAACCCAACTTAAATAGGATTCCTAGGTCCAGAACCGGTGCACTACTTAGGAACATGGCAGGTACAGTTATCATTACAACATAACATACAAAGCAACCAATTAAACGCATGATAATTGGTCAATTTTTCTGCATAACGAGAAACCTACCTCCAGTAGATCGATCATTTTAGTCATCTGAGAGTAGAGGAGTACGCGATGTCCTTCGAGTTTCAGCTTGGAGAGAAGTCGATCGAGTTCCTTCAGCTTTCCTGAATCGGCGATAAGGCAGCCCGGGGAGACCAGGGCTATCGACGGGGGAAGGGGGGCCACGGTGGATTCCGTCTTGACGCAAGACTGCACGTCAAAGAGGATGTTTGGACGTGGGCAGAAGAGCCTCAGAGGCCGTACAAATGCCTAAGGGGGTGAAAGAATGCAGGAAAAACCAATCAAAAATTGGGGCCCGCGCAGCAAAGTAAAGAAGGCAAATGAAGTACACGCACGGGCAGGGTGAAGGCGCGGTACACGAAGGAGGGATATCGCGTGTAGGCCTCGACAAATCGCTCCGTGTCGCCTGATTGTTTAGCCGGTAAAACACGGCATTCGCTTGCTGACTCAAAGGAATGTCCGTCTGGGGTGCACGTAAAGACGAGGTTTCTCAAGTCGGGTAGTTGGCAAAACGGACGCAAATCGAGTAGTCGATCTGTTGGGACAACAACCGGGGAATCTGATCGATTTTTGGCAAGCAGGTAGTTTCGGGGGTCCTCGCTGGGTGGATGGCCGAACAAGCGAGCAGAAGAAAAGCCTTAAAATGAACGAAATAAGGATACTACGAGTTACGGATTCAACGGGAAGTCAGAATAAGTTAAACCAGACGCACACTACTTACACCGCGCAAAAGATTGACACTCGTGGGACAATGGCTGATGGTCCTGAGAGTGCCAGAAAGACTTCATGAGGTAGGCATCCGTGAGAATGAGAAAATATGTGAAGATCACACGCATCCTGTCACCCTGACACCCCAAGTCAAATGAAATGGATCGCAGGAAACGCCACGTTTGTCCAGCGACGAGTCCTTAAACATATTAGCAAGGAATTATTATCATTACAGCTTTGTTGTTGTTGTTGTCATGACTGTTTTACTGAAAATTGCTTGAAATAAGGAACTTCAACAGGCACCTACACAGAAGTCGGACACTTCATACCTTCGTCAAAGAGAAGCTTTGGTATCCACCAAAGACCGTTTCCACCCGTTGCTTCAAACGGTCGCACCGACGTGCAGCTGAAACGAACATCCCGCCGGTCGAAGAGATCGGGGTGATTGCAGACCTTGCGAAGCTGCATGACCAGGTTCATTAGCCGGTTGCTAGCCTGTTCTTGATTGGAAACAAAGAGGACGCTTCGAGTCGCATCGTCGGCGTTGAGGTCTTCAATGTGGATTTTGCTCTTCAGACGATTGTAAAGCAGGGTTTGGCGTCTCGTAAGTGGACAGTAAATGAGGACTTCCGTCTACACATAAAGATAAGGCTCTCAAATACCAATTGAAACGCCAACCGCACGATCCCATGGAGGGTTCTTCTCCATGCAGAACCACGAATAACGAAAAGGGCACTTGCCTTCTCAGTGATTTCATGCTCAACCTCTGCTTTGACTCTGCGAAGCATGAAGGGCTTCAATATGAGGCGCAGGCGAGAGAGTTGGTTCTCGTTCAGGGTGGTCACGGCCCCACTCCCTCCGGACGACTCACCGCCACCTCCGCTCGCAGCCTACAGGAACGACAAACATCGAGACAGTCACCTTAACGCCAAACAGTCGCCTTAGTAGACATTCCACGCGGTGAAATACCTGCGATTCGATGTCCTTCGAGAACCAGTCCGCGAATTCGTCGTGGGAATCAAAGAGGGCGGGCATGATGAAGTGCAGGAGAGCCCACAACTCACGCATGGCATTTTGGATGGGCGTACCAGTGAGAAGAAGACGATTGCGACACTTGAAAGAGAGCAATAGGCGCCAACGCAAGCTATACCGACGTAAAAAAAACAACATGGATGCTGGATGACATGGCACGGTCTGTTAGTTGCCACCCAATTTTGATGGAAATGACCGATTCCTAAGTAAATGCCCAAGATGTGTTGGACAGAGACTAACCTTGACGTGCTCTTGATGGCATGCGCTTCGTCAAGCACGATGTACGTCCAAGCTGTTTTGTTGATGAACTTGGCGTCCTGTAGCACAACTTGGTAGCTAGTTACAACGACGTGGAAGGCAGCCTCCCGAGTGCCTAAGAGAGCGCCCTCGGAGGCAGCTGAAGGGGACCAGAAGCGACGGAGGACCTTGCGCTCGGCTGGAGAACCCCAGTAGGGCACCAGACGAAAATCCGGCATGAACTTGGCGAATTCCTGTGTCCAGTTGTGCAGAGTGGAGGCAGGAGTGACAATTAAGAAGGGGCCCCACAAATTGTATTTCTAGCATCAAAATAACGGAGCGGTACATAAAACAGCATAGAGGGGCCTGCAGTAATTAGCAAATGGCATCTTAGAATTGCGCAAGTGTTGGCATTGTGTCTGAGTAGGGCAAAACACTAGACCAAAGGCCAGGGTGGAATTTTATGAATACTCGGAGTTTAAAAGGGTAACCATCCATTCCACAACAACCTTAGGACGTAGTGACATTGAGAGGTATAGATATAGTAGCAGGAACACGAGAGCAGGCTTGGAAGAACAAATGCCAGAAACATCCCAATTACGAGGTGGTAGAAGGCGGAGGAGAAAAGAACAGAAAATGGTAAATTTAAAATTACACGGACACCTCGGCAAGTGAACCCAAAAAGGCGATCGTCTGCACAGTCTTCCCAAGGCCCATTTCGTCGGCGAGGATTCCATTTATGCCCTGGTCGAAAAGGGTGAGGAGCCAGGCCAGTCCCTTCAGTTGGTAGGTCTTCAAGTCGCCTTTAAACAGCGCGGGAGGCTTCGAAATATCCACTTCTGTCTCCACAGCTTGCTGCAATCCATGACCGAACTCGTTACGCTAGAAAGGATGATTGTGATTTATGATTAAAAGACAATCGCATGAGCTAAATCCTTTTTTCAGACGTGATCGAATACTACGCTTCTAACAGGGACGAACGACGTTCAGCTTACGTGCTGGTAGTTGGCTTTGCTAATTATAATAGTGGCCAGCTTATCACATATAGCCTAATTCCACCCGAAGGACAGGTGAAAATTACGTAAAAACGTGTTCGGCTGCAACAACCAGACTTACTATTTGGCTCTCTTTCTCGATGGCTGATTGAACGCGAGATAGTGCTTCAGCCTTCAGAGTCTCAGCATCTTAATTGATAAAAATGACATCGCGGAGACAGTGATGCAAGCAGAAATGATGATTTGAATAACGACAAAATAATCCATCAACAACGGCAAGTTAATTATCGAATGCTAAAATACCACGCAACGTGTTACAAGAGATTATTACCAGGGGTAACTCCACCGACATACACTATAAGCGGTAGAAATCCGATTTAGTCATTACAGCACAAACACGTAATCTACTTGAAAAGACAAATATGACTTACCAAATTCATCATCGACATTAATTCCAAGTCTGCCCGCAGCAGCTTTGGCAGCTTCGGCGAGAGCAGTGGTTGGCGCAGGTTCTGCGCCACTCGTTTTGTCAGAGACCTTCGGTGTTTCCTGAAGTCGATCGAGAATCGAATCGACTCCAGCCGAACCCCCACCAGACATTGTTTTGGCCATGAAGTGGGAGTAGAGTTCGGTCTGGGTGAGTAGGAAATTGAGCTTGCGTTGCTGCCGCCGCGCCTCTAGCAATTCTAGATCGGCTTTTCTCTGTTCCGCCAACGCCCGCTCCGCACGACGTCGTGCTGCGGCCGCTGATTCAACCTCCGACTCAACAACATCTGCAGGGCCACCAACAATTTCACCCGCTTCTGTCATACCGGTTTGTGGATGGCCGCCACCGTTGACGCCACTACCACTACGAACGCACCAGTAAGCGGCTATTTCTCTAGCCAATCTTCGAGCACGATCTATCGAAATAAAAAAAAAAATAGGTAGGAACCCTAGATTCTAGAGTCATGATTTGCTAAGTTACACGTTCCAACTTTTTGATTAAAGAGGGCTGAGTTGAACACTAACAGCTGACTCACTTGCAAGATCTTTGGATGGTTTTTGAGTCTGACGCTGCCGTACGGCTTTGGCACAATCCTTTGCAGCCTTCTTCGCCATGATCAGTTTATCGCGTCGGATGTTGGCCCGTAAGCGCGCGGCTTTCCCAACGAATTTCTTAATCAACGTCCGATAGAGGCGCTCGTTCTTCGAAAGGGCAGACGTGGTTGTGGGTACAGCAACCGGAGTTAAAGGACGAGCTGAAGGAGATGCACCAACGTTCCGGCGAATACTAGGTCGGCCAGCTGCCATTCTGGCGCTAAAGGCCTCCCTTTGACGACGAACTAGACGCATTAGGTCATCATCTTCCTCTTCGTTGTCCTCATCAACTACAGCATCTTCGTCTTCTGACAAAGTCTTCTATCAAAGAGAAATTAGGTAGTCAGCAAAGCGTGCTTCCGCAATAAATCTACTCGATTGCACGCTAGTGAATATTTTCATTACTCAGTTGTAATGGTTTTCAATCTGCTACTAACCGACAACGGAAACTCTAACAATATAATTGTAAATGGTTCTTAAATAGATATCATATTTGGACAAATAACAAGGAGCAAGTTAAGAGAAATAACGTGAAGTTCAGAACATTACAAAATGGGAACCACTCCAGAATCTGCCTGGTATGAATGCAACATATGAATTGCGTACTTGAAGGTCATCCATTTCAGTGGTCGCATCTGTGTCAGAACCACAATCTCCCCGCGAGACAGCGACAGAACGAATATGTTGGCGAAGAAGTTCCGTAAATGAATACGTGCGGACACTATCGATGATGCGAGCCCGCTCCTTCGCGGACATGCGCTTTAGCTTCCGCTTCGCGGCTATTCGGTATTCTTCCATTAGGCGCAATTGGCTTTCCATGGCTTTCGTGTTGGTATAACCTGACAGATCCGGAGGGGGGGGGATCTTCTGCATTAAAAAGTAGTTTTACGAGAGGTTTGGGAGAAAAAAGACCAAAACTTTAAGGAGTAACTCACAGAGAAAAATGGGTGCTTCGAGGCACGCAGACTCCACGCTTCCGCGGTCAGCGACTGCCCTGAAATGCACAGAAAAGTCAATTATATTAAATGGTTTACTAACAGGAGATGAGGGCTGAACGTTGTTAACTGAAAACAATAGTGAATTGAGGGAATCAAATTTTCATACGAATAGCCCGAGATCATGAGCCAGGTTTGACGTTACGCAAATTTCACGACTGCAGATTTTAAGGTGTGTTATAAAAAAACTCAGGGGGCGACAACGGTAAAGGTTTTAATTTACCAGTAAAGGACAATTTGGAGTTACTATGCCACCAAAAACGGAATATATGAAAACATTTTGACTAAAATCAATAAGATATGTCAACAGAACTTAAAAATAAACAAGGAAAGAAATTTACCTAGAGCAGTTTGAGACAATTTTAGTGAAAACGGTAATGTCAGACGTGCTTCTAGCTCTTCTATTTCATCCAGCAGACGTGTGCAGTCCAGTGAGGCTTCCAAGTTTTCGGAGGCAACGTCCATTTTATTCCGGTCCTCCATATTTCGTAAAATACAGCCAAACCAAACTAACTTGCGCCCACTCCGCAGCGAGCAAATCACGAAAGCGTTTGAGCTAACCAATTAAATTTAAAGCTAGTATCATCAGCATCTGTGCGTTGATGAATCGAAATATAACTCGAATAAAAGGCATTTGTAGCCCAATTTCAATTTTAAAGCAATGATAGAATTATAGAACTTTACTAGTGCGACCTTCTGAATTAAAGACACGATTACGGGGGCACCCATTTGAGACAAACTATTTTAATGTAAATTACGAAATGCTCAAGTTAGATTTTATCTGCAAAATTGTAAATAGAATCATGACTATTTTGTGGTCTGTTGTATGTCTGAAGACCTTTTTCATGCATCTCTCCGCACATTTGAAGTCTTGTCAGTGTATGCGATGATGCAGACTATTAACTCCATTGATATTCCCTGATATTAGAATTACAGCATCTGATTACATGACAGCTAGTCAACCAGGAATGTAGAAACATTTCGCGTTCATCATTCTAAATCTAGGATGCATGACATAGCCCTCCCGAAATCAGAAGTTTATGACACCTTTCGTCAAATATTGGGATATGTGTAGCTGCCAACCCAAATCACAGAACTTGCATACAGTATGACAGACTAAGATGAATGTCGGTTACTTAATGATTCAAGCCTGTTTTAAACTCACATATCCTTTTCTGTTCTAAACTACGACAAAAGTATATACCATAGCCATTTAGAACCTGAGTTGATACAGTAATCATGACCACTTTGCGCATTTACCTATAATTAAATATTTTTATTAGAGGGGTAAAATGGCCAACCAGAATGTCATAATGCTTTTACTTTTCTGTACTTTCAAATGGACAAAAATTACTAAACCATTTTTATGAAGGTAGTGGGGTGGAAGCTGTTATCCACACTTAATCCACCATTTCCTTCTATGAGATCATATTTAAATTAAAGTAGCAAGCACAACTAGGAGTCTACGAAAGATTACTGCAAAAGCCCACAAATAGGAGTACGATGGATACAGGGAATGTTTGCCTAATCTTGATCAGAATTGCCTACATGGTGGCCTGCTCACTTACGCGACTTTACAGAAACGTCAGGAGTGAGTACCTGTGATTTTATTTTCCTCATTGAAATTGGTCTTGCTAAATGACAGCAGTGATTTAGGCGTCATGAAATACTTTGTTTAAATTGTTTCTGTTCTTAGCTTGCCTCACCAGTAGAGAGAAATAATTTGACTTTCCACGCTTTAATTGCACAGAATATTCCTACAAAATTTTTTTAATTGAAAGGGATAAATTATTAAGCCAGTCTATTGCAAGTGTTTTTTTGAATGCATGATATTTAACTCGGCTCCAGATCTTCATATGGAGATAATAAATTCAGTGACCTGTCATTCATTTTGGCTTTGATTATATCAGTAGCTACAGTCATGGAAATTCACAGCAGAGACCAAATTTTGTTCTTTTGTTCTAGAAATATACTATGAATTCTAGTTTAGTAAAATTATGCGAAAGCAGGATGATGCATATATCTGAAAAATTGTCATTGAGTATTTGAAAGCAGCCAGTACAAATCAAAACGCAATTTTTTGGAAGGGAATGTAGAAATTAACACAGCTAGTGCGGTGAGAGGAAAATTGCATGAGAAATCATCAATTAACCTAAAAAAATGCTGGAACATATTGCCGTCATTTTCGAAATTAAAAAGGCTGCCATATAGTTGTCGTAGAATGGCTTGAAATTGATATGTACAACAATACCAGTGGCGTCATAGGCTTAATTGGTTCAGAACGTAATGCATGCGATCACCGCACCAGTGCCAGCGATCTTTGTTGACTTGTAATGACCCGGGAATGAGCGAAGAAGCTATAGACAGCATTTAGCTAAAGTAATTAATTGACATTTCGTGTGACAAGGCGTTTATGCACCTAGGCATGTTGGACATTTAATCGAATAAACGAAAGCCACTACATGTGATGTTGACTGAAACCAAATTGTTGATTTGACGACCTTTTGATCGAGCCTGATCAAACCACTTGTGAGCTACCATGAGCACGTCTGCCTTGGGCGATTTGATCGTCAACGTTCCCCTGTGGAGGCCTAGTTTTCTTTTTGTTATGCCAGTAAGCAGCAAATTTTCAAAAACACCAAGTCCCAGACGAGGATACATGTCTCCCTAATTTAGACTACGCAAGAAATCTTCGAGTAAACACGCTTCGTCACCGCCTTTCCTCAAATCAGCAAAATAGTTTGCTTCCTTTACGGAAAGTTAGCCAAATATGTGGAAATATAATCCTTAGGCGTTTTGATTACAAAAATAAAATTTATCGATCTAGGCGGAGAGATTTGCCTCACTGACAGCCTCTGAGCGCTGAGGATGTATTGGCCTGGACGCCAAATTTAATAATACAGGACGCATTCAAACTTAAATTTTCTTGTCAAATTAAACTATTACAACGCCGCAAAGATATAAGCTTGTTTGTACCCTTTGAAGAGCCCGTGCAGTTAGGCAGAGGATTTTGATTTCTTCAAAATGATAATATTGAATAAACGAAACCTGCATGATCGCATTAGACACGGTTTTTAAGTAAGATCACCAAGTCAGGTGTGCACAAAAATAATATTTTTCCTGAACCTTGCACAATTTCAGCAAAACAATTTTTCAGGCTGCATCAATAAATACTGTAAATCTTTTAAATTTTGTGGCATTCATCTTTGAGCAGTGAGATTAATTAGAATTTTTCTGATAAAATAATTTAAAATAAAAAAAGTTAGAATTAAGTTGCTTGAAGTAAAGCAAAGACCGGAAGGTTAATTGTAGTCGAGAACAGATTCGGTACAAAAGTTTTGAGTGGGAATTTAATTTTTCTCAAATCTGAACGCATTATGTGGCTGCTTTCTTCGTGTAATGCGTTTAATGGTGTTACGTAACATTTTGAAACCAGCTAATTCCCACCTACAAGAATGGGCAATTGGAAAGGCCGTATACTATAGTTATATGCAGGGCATAATTTTGACGTTAATGCATATCACATCCGTCGATTAGTTAATGGGCTTGGACCAAACAGAAACACATTTACGTCTTCCCCTGCGTAACAAGGGTACGGAAGATTGTTTGGATGCAATAATCTGAACCTCTACAACCACGTTTGTTGTTAATTTGGCAGTGCGTTTTCAAGTAGTGTGCTAATGAAACCTTAAATGTTTAAGCATATCGAAGTACGGTTATTCTAAGCGAATAGGAAGGGAGATTTACTGAACGTAAATTAGACCAATGCTGTACTATAAAAGGATTTATGGTGTGTGACTAGTCGGTTTCTAAGCAAAGTAAACTCGCCCACATTTAGTCAATCCCAAAATTACAATCGAATCAATGAACTAAAGTACCTACGCAAAAATTTGCACGGAAACTAAATAACAAGTTTAGGGAACAGTTCGTGTTTGTCCAATGGGAACATTCGCGGACATTTTTGAGCACGCCTCACGCAGGCGTAATGCCAGCAGTTGGAAGGACGCTGCTCAACTAAGTGCCAGCCACCCAAAGGCGTTCCAGCAAAGGATAAACAATACTGCTGGCAGGTTCAATCCATTTGCAATGACGAGGCTACCTGCTTTGAAATTACTGTTTTGATTTAAGTAAATATCCAACTTTATCCATGAACTTGTCAAATGATTATTATGTGACTGCAAGTAAAACTGTTTACAAAGACTATTTAATAATTACTTGGCACCTAACTGAAATTCCAGTTCATTTATCACCTCTAATAAAACGCTTTATTTGTGAGGTCCGAAATGTGTGATCGGATAAATTTTGTTACATGTTGATTAGAGAATAATTTTATTAGTTTGTGGCCTTTGAATAATATAATACTTTTCTGTTATTTTGCACTCAGCCCTGCTAATAGGCAGTTGTTGAAATTTAATTTGCAAAAACTTTCATTGTAAGTGTTTGACGTAGCGTTGAGGGCATAATGTGGGTAAGGAGAACCTACGGCGCTTGAGTCATTTCTGATCATTTACTTTTTTTTCAATTCCAAAAAAACTGTGACCTTAAAAGGCGCCAGTTTGCACCTTGCTGGCGAGGCAAACTATGTTTTACTAGAATATTTCCACCCTAAAGAAAACATTTACATTAATTATTTACAGTCACCATAAAAAAGATATATCTGCACGCTGTTTTTAAAAAAAATGCATTTACCCTTACGCCTTTTGCATTGGACAAAAAGTCTTCGAAATGGCACAAATTGGCATGAACTTTTTTTAGTTTTATTTAAATCAGTAACTCCAAAGTGTCCGCAAAGTCTGTTAATCTAAGGTCCAAGCAGCAGATATTTTCGATGCTCTTTTATGCAAGTAAATTTAATGAAACCGTGTTCAATGCTGAGCTAGACCGAATCACCAGCGACAAATCAAAAAATTTTAAATTTTTTCGATGCACTTTTGTTTTAATGCTTCGATATCTTAAACATTTTTACCAGTGCAGCCAGTCGTTATCACATCTACATCCAACTTTAACAATCAGTGCTTTTTCCTCTACATTTCTTGGTCGTCTTAAAACTAGGATATGCCAACTTAGCCTGAAGATGCCAAAACATTCATGACTCAAGATTATCCTTTATGGCATATTGCGAAAATAAGATAAAGTTCTGTCCAAGCAAACCAACTGGGCATGAAGCAAAATTAGGTTAACGTGGCTTTCATTTTGTTCAAATTGATTTTGAGAACTGAGGCTGCAGCTTACAAAGTTCACTTTTGCATAGCGCGCGCTGCCAGCTACAAAGACCTCTAGAATCCGATGCGACTGATTGGACAAGCCAACTGGGTGAAAAGTGATTGGGTGGGAGTGAGCATGGAACACGTTTTTCAACCAGTAATTTTGGATTCAATCGACGCGTAGCAGACATGAGGTTGAAGTGTACGAAGAAATAAGTAGGATTAACTTGTAAGCCGTACTCGATTTTTATTCACCTATGATCTCTCTATTATTTGCCTGTGCCAGCATTCAACCGGACATGATTTTTAAACGTTTTAATTGTCAAAAAACTTGAAATGATTCCGGATTTCAATGAAATTCAGTTGGTGTAAAGCAGACCTTGATGGTGATATATGTTGAACTTATTTTGTAAGTGTGCTTTCTTTTGGTTGATTAAATAGTATAAACAGGGAAATACTACGTGCGGATTTATAGAAGACTTGCCTAAAGTAATCTGATTGGTTAATGACACAATCAACATTCTTATTGCTTAGTCGACAACGTTAATTCTCTTTTTCCTTTCTGTTACATTCTAACAAGTTTTTGCAAATAATCTAGCAGTTTTTATTAAAAACAAATACTACCACTAGCCAAATATTTCGCTTCAAAAAGTTTATTAAGTTCTGGATTGTTTTTACACATGCGATACTGATTTACGTGTATTTCATTAACAATGACATACGTATGAAAGCACATTTAATATTTCACTCAGTCAAGTAAAATATTGGATGTATACGTAGACAAATCAAGTCCACCATTAAATTAGAATGAGGTTTGAACGATTTATTTTACAAGGTAAATTATGTGTGCTTATTTTGTTTGTCACATTAATTTGATATGGCAATTTGATATCTTAATCCTCACTCAGTAAAACAACAATTATCGATTGATTATTTGGCCCTTATAACACAAAAAGTTTACCTACATATAAAAATGTGAAATGTAGAAAAGTTGAATTCCTTTATTGCGTTTATATTTGAGCTCTCGTTGGGAATTTTGGTCAATTCAATAGAAATTTGAAAGGACATTAGAATCCGTTTATTTTCTAAACAAAATACATCTGGTTAAAAGCTTTCCACAGATGCTCACGCTTTAGTTGCCAGACGTCCAATATTTTCAGGTGCTGGTAAAATGCTGAATAACGATCACTGACGTACACTACAGTAAGGCATTGGTTTTTTTCGCAACCTTTACCGAATTATTGGTGGATCATTTTTTATTAAAAGACGAACACTTGACAAGAACAAATTTTGCCCCGACGACTTAACTTTCAAGCGTGTGGATGATTAAGGTTTCGTATGAGCTTAGGTCGGTTTGGCGACAGCTAGTAATACCCATTTGCCACTGGTGAGTTGGCGTTACTGGCGAGGGCACTAAAAGGACTCTTGCAAATCGATGCCTTGGGCACATCGATCACAAACCTAAACCGAGGTGTTTTGCAAAATCTTTAATGTTTGACATCTGCTACAGTGTCATTGATAAGCAAAATGTATTTAGTTTAAGTGACTAATTACATTGGTTGCAGACAGTTTTTTTACAATTAACAGATTGTTCTTATTTGAGAAAACAAGACAAAATTGAGTGCTGTGAATTCATTTTACCGAAATAACAGTTTGACGGTTCAGTCTGATTTAACTGACTGCCTATTTGCCTGCACTTTTTTTGCACTCTCCTTGCCAGGGGAACTGAAGTCGAAATTGCCAAACTGCAGTGCGCAAAAAATTAAGTTTTTAACTAATGAACTAAGACCGCTAAGATAGCTTCGAACACGATTTAACGCTTGTGTCTTGGGTTTCTAACGAATTGACTTTGGATTGTCGGTTTAATGCAGGAGGTTTAGTAAAACAAGTGCCACTACCAGCTAAACCCAATTTTCTACTGACAGCCTTCTTGCCTAAAAAAGTAACACCGATTCAATGTGGATTCGATATTGGGAAAAATTGCAAAACCCGCTTGGGCAAACCCGAGATCTCTTATTAAATCCAATGTATGTGATTTCTCCAATTGTATTGCAATATGGTTTTTTGTGTTTAGTCGATACATACATACCAATCCCGTGGTGGGTCAGGCTACGGCTTTAGCGACTACTCTGCTCAATTTGGGAATCAGCTATGGGTTTTTTTTTCATTTTCGAGATGGGCGACATTAGTTGTGTTTTTTTAGAACACACTAAATCATTGTGACATGTACCGTATTGTGTCGATGAGCCCTGTTGTAGGCCAAATGTACATGTGGCACGTATACTCTCGCGGAAATTACAAGACGCTTGATGTCTCTGATAATAAACATATTTTAGTGACAGATATTGCAGATTGTTTACTAGCTTTGGTTAAAAGTCCGATAGAAAATCTCTCTTCGTTCGAGACGAATCGCGCAGGATGTCTGCGTTGTCTGCCAACAATTTTACTACACAACCCAAAGCACATTTATAAAATGTTCATTTCAGTAGTATACTCAAAGCAAGCTAAACGGGTTAGAGTGAATATTCCAACTTACTTTACGGAGTAACCAACATTTAGAGTGGCCAATCGAAATCGGCAATGGGATTTTGGACGAGGAAGGTTTAGGCAATTAATCTCAAAGCCACACGCTTTATTACGGCATAATTAACATAGCGGGTTAGTTGTAGTTGAGCATAGTGACTTGTTTGTTATTAAAACATGCAAATCATTGGTGATGGTTCCAGTCATAACTCGTGTTTACCGCCACAGAAAGCCAGTCTTCGTGTCTACGATGTCCTCAGTGAAGGTAGCAGTTCGTGTGAGGCCTTTCAACAAACACGAGGTTGCTCTCCGGTCTAAGCGTGTCATTTCCATGTCCGGTGATGCAACTAGTAAGTTAACCAGTCTTTGTTGTAGTTTCTTTAAAAGACTTTGTACATAGTGAAGTTTGCAGGCGAACCTTAAGAGTGAAACATGGCAAATTTTGTGCCTTTTTTACAAATAATTTTCTTTGATTTGCATGTACTTTCATTAGCTCTTTATCATCATCTTTTAATTAAATTAACACGTATATTTGGAATCCGGTGGATATTTTTGGATCAAAAACTGGCCATTTGGGATACATTATAGAGGGCATAAATGGTTGCGGTGCCTGACAATCTGACATTGCGGGACTCAGTTCGGTGCAGACGATTTGCTTTTGCCCACGCGAACCGCGCAGTTATTTAAACTCATACATGTAAATCATATTTCCTTTTGATGCAGAACGCGCTCACGCAAGGGCTTGAGAATGGCACAGCACCCAAACATGCTTAATTAACAGCTGAAAGATTTTATTCATTTAGAAAATAGCCGTCGACATGTTTCGTCACTACTGTTTTTGATTTCAGCTATATGGAAGGTTGACGGAGATGACTCCACAAGCAGAACTTTTCAATTTGACCACAGTTTCTGGTCACATACGGATGTAAGTCATCTGCTCCTTCAATGAACAAAGCAAATACGTTGTTCATTTTATGGCTTTTTAAAATTATTTCATCAAACACGCACAATGGAATTAAACGAAGGTATTACATGTGCAGATTTTGCGACGGAGGTTTGCAAAACACGACTGGTTTAATGCTGCTCCATCGAACACTCGTGTCTTGGGTGCAAGTGAGGTAGTTTTTTTGAAATACCCCGACTGTAATGCTTATCTCACTGCGATTCGAGTGAGGCGCAATGGTCAGAAGTTCTACAGCAAATAATGTGACTTAATCGAATAAATATTTCAGTTCTTTTTACCCTCAACGCCCGAGAGTAGTTGAAGCACACTCTAATAAAATCATCAGCCACTTGCGTATCGGTATGCGATGACTAGGTTTGACACATGCTAGGACTTAATCCACATTAATGCCCTCAAAAATGTTAAATACAGGTACGATTTTTGTCAGCCTTCTACACTACTCCTTAGACCCTCTGACTAAAAACTGGTTTAAAATCTGTAAATTGTTAAAATACTAAGCATGAGGCAAATTGGCCACGGGACTGTAAAAGTCTAGGCGTTCACAGCACTCGGCAAATAAGACAGGCCAATAAAGCAGTTGATATCTATCCCGCCTACACCTCATTTTCTCAAAAAGTTCATTCTGAGTCACTCTATCGCAAAGCAAACGTAAGGTTCCCTGTGTTTTTATGGCAGTACTCAAGTAGTCGGTGAAAAGCGGCCTCAAAAATAAGTCAGTGAGTCCTCCACTTAACTATACTGAATGATTTGCTGTCTAACTAAAAATGTTCAATGTTTGCTGCGGGAAATAGGCAGCATGCACAAGTGTGTTTGCGTTTGTTCTATAAAAGCTATTAGCATTCGTTTTGGTCTATTTTGTCAGGCAAGTGACCCGTTGTTCGTGTCGCAGAGTCTGATCTACAAAGAAATTGGTGTTGAGGCACTGGATCACGCGTTGAAAGGCTACAACGTTTGTGTATTCGCCTACGGTCAGACGGGCTCGGGAAAGTCGTACACTATGATGGGAAAACCAGATGATCCAGAACACATGGGTTTGTCTCCGCGTATTTGTCGTGATTTGTTTACACGCCTGGATGAGATTCGGATGGAGAGGCAGCAGGCGAAGTTTCAGAGCATCGTTGAGGTACATTTTGATTTTCGTATATTCGCATTTAAAATAACACCGAGAATGAATTGTTACCCAAAAGACTTGTTGTGGGATTTGAAGAAACTTTCATCACGTCGGGGTCACCAATTGTCGTGGGCCCCAGCATGTGGTCTTGAACCACGCCGGGGCCACGGAATTAACCCTGGTCCGATTACGCTTCCCTGATACCCGCAATGAAGAAAAAGACCAGAGAGGACGTGGACACAGCCATTTACCTCAGAGCTCAAATAAGGTGGTGTCATGCATGGCTTTCGCGGGTGTTTTTATACCTCAGATGTGCTAACATCGATACTTAGGTGTGGAGAATAATGAGGGAGTTGAGGATCCGCGCGACTGGCGAAATGCTGTCAGAGGATGGAGCGACCGGATTAAGGAGTGTGCATAAACACAATTCACAACAGACTAAACGTGTTGGTGTCACTCGACTTAAAGATCGGTTGAGGTGAAGCAGCCCTACATTGCAACAATGTTCTTCAACTTGAACAGTTTAAGTTCGTTGTGACATTTTCGGACAGTTATGCTTTCAGGCACACGCAAAAGCTATGAAATCTCCGGCATGGTCGTGATTGTTTGATACATTTTGCGGCTACGTAGACGAAATGGAACCTGCTTATCGAATTGTTTTGTTGAAATGAAATTTTGATAAGAACTACAGGTGCCTTGATACATCGATATCTAGTTGTTACGTTTGCCCGTAGCAGAGAGAAAACCACTCAAATAACGGTACCAGGGCCCTTGCTGACGCTAGAACCGACCTTTCCACGCTAATGCAAGAGCAAGACCATAGCTTGTGTAGATAGCTTTAATCACGTCAGCCAAATATGGAATGAGTTGTCAAAAGTGTACACTACTTCAAGGTTGACCTTAACCTGATAAAAACCGTAATAAAACACATGTTAGGGAATTAGTGTGAATCGTGCCAAAAACCAGCGATGAGCAATCTTGCGGTATCGTGGATCCCCAGCACTAGTTGGCACAGCTACCTCAGTGCTAACGCCAAGTATTCTACAAGGCGTCTAAAACAGGCGAATGGTAGCAAAAGCAGGACCTGTCACTTTTCCAACGAGATAACCAACTGAAAATACTAATTACTCTATCAACAGTTTAGTAAAACACCAAGCTTAAGAAAGTGTAGATATTTTTATCAGTTCTTTACTACTGCCGTAGGTACTTCAAGTCAATTTTGTAAGAAAAAACCATCAACCTCTGGGCAGGACTGGAATATGATGTATTAATAAGATAAAATAATCCTTCTACGCTTGCCTTTTTGCATTCAAGATAACTTGGCTCATCTAATTGCTCAGGTAGAACCTTGGTTTTAATAAAAATGATGCAAAAAATTTGCAGTGTTATCTGTTTTGGAGTTTTCGGCTTGTGTTCAGTATTGCAATTTAGATGCACTCAACAACCGCACTCAACCTGTTGTCTTAATTTAACAGCCGAAACGCCAGTAATTCGTTGTCTCAGTGACTAAGATAGGGACGTCAAGAAATTTAATTAAAAAAAACCAAAAGGTTGTAAACTAGTGGCAAAGTCTGTTTAAATCCTTGTTCGATGTTGTAATTAATCATCAAGTTATTCGAGTCAGAAAAATCTAATTCCCGAACCAAATATTCACTTCCTACTTTCCTAGTTTTTTTTGAACTAAAAATCCAATTTAGCAGCTGTCCAATTTTATCTAGGTCTCCTACATGGAGATATACTGCGAACGGGTTAGGGATCTCCTCAATCCATGTGGAAAAGGACGCCTTAGGGTCCGAGAACATCCTACCTACGGACCCTATGTAGAGGACCTTTCACGGTGTGCTGTTCAGTCCTTTGATGAAGTCAACCAACTCATCAATGCAGGAAATATGTCAAGGTAAATAAAAGTGGTTAGCCAATAAAAACGCATTATTGCGGTAACCCAGAAAAAAGATTGTTCACCATTTAAATCCAAAATACATGATGTATAGCAATGTGATTTTTGTATTATTTAATTCTGTATTTTCGACCTCCAGAAAAAAACATGATTTATTGAAAAGTTTTCCAAAGACACTGAGGCCGCCAAATATCTCCAGTTAGACTATATTTTGTGCAAATGATGGTAAATAATTTCAGGCGAAGGGACTATAAAATTTGAGCGACGAATTATTACAAAAACAGTTTACTTTAAGGATATTCTTTAAAATTTGAATGCACGAACAAACAGTATTGCAAAAGGTATTCTCTTTTTTCAAAAAGTGCAGAGATAGACAAACTAAAGGATACTAAACTATTGTTCTCTTTCTTGTGTCCACGTGTTCATACCCCACAGACTGAATGTGGTAAAGAATGTTGCTGAATATGCATTGAATTAACTTTGGCTCAAATGTCATTTAACTATGGTAAACCGGTATGTTTTATGGCACTTGAGAGCAAAAAAGACGGAATTAGAATAGCAGAGTACACATGGAAGCGTTCTAGTTGCATTGGTAATCTCTGCGAAAAAACTGATCATTAGTTGATGGTAACTTATAGTGTTTTGGATTCCTTGATAAAACTGTAATTTCGCATATGTAGTCCAATGCCAACAACAGAAAGTCTAATAAACCATCACCATCTATGGCTTCATACCCGGACGTAAAGTCGAATAAAGACGCTGTCTTTAAATTTTCAAGCGCTGCACCAATGGGAAGTCAAAATTCATTTTATAACGAAAGCAGCTGCCTTCTTGAAAGTACGCTGTTTATATGTGAAGGTAAATTTAATCACGCAACGCCCTCATCGTGATTCGTGTACAACGATTACAATCCCGTGTTGTACATGCACAAATAAATACTTAATTTTTACTCCCTAATTTAGTATGCATGAAAGACAATGCATATCTTAAATCAAATTAAAAGGCATTCTTCACTTTTAATTAGTCATGTACATAGAACAGCTTTAAATCTGAATGCAAAACTAAGCCGTCATTTCTGTTTCTGGTTTTGATTGAAATTAAAATCCCACAGTGTCGTACTGGGTCATTTTAAAGAAACACCAGAGTAATGATTACTACAGCTCCATAGAGATTTTTTACCGCATGAGTTCTACATTAAAAATTAAATTAAGGTGGATGTTCTTGGTTTTAGAACTGTGGCATCGACAAATATGAATGAGACCAGCAGCCGATCCCACGCCGTCCTCACGCTCCTCGTAACGCAGCGGGAAGTTGATGTCCACACTCAACTCATCGCGGAAAAGGCGAGTCCATTCAACCCCGGCCGAATCCGAAATGATTTATCAGCTAGGGTGTTATTTTCCTTTCTTCTCATCATAAATGATGCAGGTTTTCTAGTTAAATGCAACTAAAACATCCGGGAAAGTGATAGGTTTGAAAGAAGACCCCCCCCAAAAAAACTACAATAAAGCTCGTGGTAATTGTAAATAAAACCAAATAGGTTTGCACACTTGGAACTGCTGTGGCTACTAAGTAGCTTTCATAAATGCCTAATTATCACAAAATGATTATCATTTGGGTTCAATAGTCAACTTTATAATTATTTTTGCCTTTGTTTTTAAGTTGAAAATGTGCGTCATGATTTAATTAGCGCCTAGATAGTGATGATGTGTTGATCTGAAGAAGATTGTTTCAAAACATGCGCAATTTTGTATTGATTAAAACAATTATTGACGTAAAGGTGAGCAAAATCAGTTTGGTCGATTTGGCGGGAAGTGAGCGCGCGGACGCCACGGGGGCCACCGGCATGCGGCTGAAAGAGGGCGCCAACATCAACCGATCGCTCACCACCCTCGGTAAGGTCATCGCCTGCCTCGCCGAATTGGCCGTAAGTGTTGTCTCGCTAATTCAAAATACAGCCTTATTTGCTCAATGAGATAAAAAACTGGACTGAGTTTCATTTTCAGTGGTTCCTGGTCAGGTTTTAATTAACAATTATCAAATCAATCGTTAAGTACACGCAAATTACCTAAATCTGATTGTCATGTTGTCTTCTACACACTCAACACACAAATGTAATGCAAGGTACGTCCAAAAATTAGCAATTACAGTCAAGTAAATGTGTATTTTGGTGAATTCTTGAAACCTCTCTTGAGATTTAGGCTGCATGGGGTGTTTTAATACTGAAAATGTTTGTCGGATGCCATTTTGATTTCATAATGTTCGGCGTTATCTCAATTATAAACTTTTATTGTAGTTGTGTTTTATGTCACAGATAGATTTCCACCAATACTGTGGTTCGAGTGAGGCTGTTTTACTTTGGGCAAATAATTGGGTTGACGGTTTCTCATCAACGTGTTTTCTCTACATATCGACAGCTTTGGATTTACTGCGTGTTTTGTTACACAACAAAGCGAAATCCTACCATCGATAAGGTTATAAAAATTAACTTTACTTCTTCGCAGGCCTGCACCTGAAACGATTGTTCCCAATGCGACAGCACCTCAAATTCGCAGTGCAGATTCTGCGTAGGCGTGTGCGCAATTATAAAGGAGAGCACTTTAAAAAACACTTGCTCGCCGTGGTCTACCCACTTTTGAGTGGGGAGATAGCACGCTCAAATTTACAGTTACAATCAAGATCAAATAGTTGGTGCACTCACCACACACAAGGAGTGGCTTAGCCTTTGATTACAGGCAGTTCTTAAAAAAAATGAGAACATCTTTAATCCGGGACTTGATGGACTAAGTTTACATTAAAAAAATCTGGGTACATACTCCATTAAAACCAGTCACTGAGAAACCGCGAGCTCACGTTAGGCAAAAATTAGGCAAAAGACAAAGGCGTGGAGCTTACTTGTTCTGTTGCCGTCATGCTTACGTTGTCAAGGTTTTTTTCAGCTGTTTAGTGATGTTCAATGCATGAGCTTTTAACCCACAAAATGTGTTCCTCCTTTGCTCTCCGAAACCCTTCTTCTAGGAGTGTCTCCGTAATTAGCTTTTAAGTAATGAGACAGGCCCGTTTTGCCGCTCCGCATCTTAAATCTCTTTGAACCTATCATCAAATGAAAAGTTAACAAGAACTACAAAATGTGCACACACACACACAATTAAAAGGTAGTATTTCCAGTGTCGTTTATGCTCCAGTTTAGTAGACTAGTTAAGCAACACATTTGCCTATTTTTCTGGATTTTGGCTAAGAGTGATGTGCGTGAGCCTAAATTATGGAACCAAATTATTCAGGCAGAACACAAAAAAAATAAGTCTAGAAGAATAGTCTTAAAGATACACACATACTGTAATCAATCAAATCCGATACTAAAAATTCTATGCTGGTTGCGTTCACATCGGGTTGTCATTAAGCGAAATACTCCGAGTTCTTGTCCTGGCACAAAAAGACCGCTGAATTTGACTTCCGGTCTGTAGTCAACCAATGCAACTTTTTCAAATCTAAGTTAAGGACTGACTAAGTCAAGGAGTTCAAGTGTGTTGGTTTTTTTTTACAGAAAAATGTTTGTTTTTGGTATTTTAGACATCGAAAAAGAAAAGGAAGAATGATTTTATACCCTACCGCGATTCAGTCCTCACTTGGCTACTTCGGGAAAATCTCGGTAAGTTTGCTTGAGGCTATTTGTAGCCTAAAATGATCGTCACTCCCCCTGATTGCAATTTTAAGGCGTTTCAGAAAAAGGTGTTCTGTGCTAACATCACGAAACCCAAAGCATGAATAGTCTTATTCCCTAATTATGGTTTTTGTAGGCGCTGATCGCACTGGATCACAGTTTAATAAAAATCCCTTGCACAGACTTCTACGCTGCTGAATCTGTGTGATGCTTTTAACGAAGTCGAGTTTTTCCCGGTTTCGACTTCCCAGGTGTCTGTTTTGCCGAACGGGAAAGATGGAATCCCAAGTTGTGGCATTTCAAGTGATGCTCACATGATAAGAACTTAAGCATTTTAAGGATGTTTGTAAACATTTCAAGAAGATCAAATGTAGACTAAAGGACAAAAATGGAAATAATTATCGTTTTCTTTCAAAAGTAATAGCATTTTATACTATACTCTATTCAAAAGCAACTTACCTGAAACAGTTTAATTGAGACGCCTTCCCTTATAAGACTAAAGAAAATGTTAGGACAGATCGATGACGTCAGATCAGTTTCTTCAAAATTATCTTCGTTGTAGGTGGCAATTCCCGGACAATGATGCTAGCCACGATCTCTCCAGCGGACGTGAACTACGAGGAGACCCTCTCTACTCTTCGATATGCAGACAGAGCGAAGCAGATAGTCTGCAAAGCGGTCATCAACGAAGATCCGAATACGCGAATTATTCGCGAACTGAAGCTCGAGGTTGAACACCTTCGAAGGCTTCTTCGATTAGAGCAGGGTGTCCCAACTAATGGTAAGGTTCTCCATGGGAACGGGAAGTATAGTGCCTTTCATTCATTATGTTTGACAGTTCGACATCTGGTGCATTTCTCAATTATCAGCAAATCATCTCTTTGACCAGTGGAACCGTTTGCGTAAATGTACTTAAAGCTCTCCTGTTTGTTTGCATAAACTGTTCAGATGTAGTGGTGAAGGATTAGAGAAGAAGACACCTGACAGACCCACGCCAAAATAAAATGAATGTGACTTGAAAGTACAAAGATGGAGCAAGTACCGGAAAGGTGGAATTTTGTTTTTTATTTCAGTGACACATCGCATGCAGGTGAGCTAGGTGTGAGTTGACCATCTGTAATCAGCACTGTGCATCAAACACTGATTGGCGCATTGCGTCAAATCCTTGCAGTTTGGGACCACCCCAAAACCGCATTGGCCTCCTGTCCGAAATTACTGCTCTGGCGCTGGCATTAGAGAGCCATCGAAATGATTACATGGCTGTGTTAACTCACTGCCTAAAAGTCCAAACTTCTACATTTAATGAGCTGCTCATTATTAATGGTGATGATGGTGACTAGTTACTAAATATATAAATGAACTTGTGATTGCTATCACCACATGTCAATGCACTAGGAATCAAGACTAAATGAAGCCCCAGTAGTGCATGTGTAAATTTAATTTTGCACTCATTTAAGCCTCTTGATTTAGACATTTTTTCTGTTTAATCAAAGTTAAGGCTATTAAATGTGTGTATGGCAATGCTAGATTTAAATTCTTGACTGCCAATTCTATTCACGTGAAAAACGCTGAGACGTTCAACGTTGATTTTTTAACTTAATTTGCAGTTTCGTTAAACCTTGCAGAGGTATTTCCGATCTAGATATTCAATATCCCTTATGAGTGATTTAATTTAAATGCCTGAAGATTGCCAGTGTTGCAAGACTAGAGCAGAATTTTGGAAAATCGAGAAAAATTAAGCAAAATATAACTTTAGTTTCTTCCTGACATAACACATCTTTAGTGCGATCCCTTGGTTGGATAAGTGACGAAAAGTTTTTGCAATAACGAAAGGCAGTTTTGCATGGAATGAATGAGTAACGTTATGTAAAATATCACTGGTTTAACTTGGCGTGAAAGGGTATCGCTCTATGCGGCAGTGTTTGGGAAGCACTGGGCTGTTAAAGGTGATTTCAAATGCCACTTGCTGATCGTTAGTACAAATAGAAGCTGATTTCCCAAATACAACTTAGAGTAGGTGTCTGTAGTGAAATTTCATTCACGAGTTGATCGAATGTCACCGAATATCGATTACAGAATAAGGCCTCTTAATGCACTTAGCAAATGTACCCCACTCACATTGAACTAGTGGGCTGTACTGCTGTGAAAAAAGCGCCTATGAGCTTCCTTCATTGCTGCTGTCAACATTTTAGAGGCCAAGGAATTACCCTCGGACCTGGAGACGAGTTTCGAACTGAAACAGTATGAGGCCAGAACTGAGGAACTGCGCGCGTCAGAAAAGTTGTTGGCAGAATTAAACGAGACTCTTGAGACGAAACTGAAGAAAACAGAGGCTCTTCGGATACAGCGGTTAGTGAACCGTGCTTTAAAGTACCCTGGCCAAAGTTCAAGGCGTTTCTCGTATTCAATAAGTTAAATCTTCATGTAAACATGACAGTTATTTCAACCAAACAACAGATAGCGGACTGCTTTTTGGCCGCACAAATAAAACAGGACCAAACCAAACCGTAAACATCGCGGAAAATCTTTTGCCAAATTCTTGAAGCATTGATTTGGTAAAACGATGACCTTTAGACCTCTCGATATTTTTCAGAGTGCAAGTAAAATTAACTAGAGTACGAAACGTAATCAGCCCGGTGATTAGGCTGTCAGATCATGCGGCTTAAAAGCTAACATTCAGCACTAATTATAGGTATTGAACATCCGGTTGTGAATCATGTGATTTTAGACAAGAGTAACGGATGAACTAACTGTTGACGTACCTACATAGCTGTTAACTAATATTCCGTCTGAAGAATTGACTAACCTAAAATCTGTTGGTATTTTCACACTTCAAGAATTTAGTTAAGCTTGAAAATTTTCAACAGTTTTTTTTAATTTTAACTGAATTTTAATGTTCTTTAGAGAACAGGAACTGCGAGCAATGGGCATTGCCCTTCGTGCGGATGGGGCATTAACCGGTGTCTTTGCGCCCAAGGCAAGCCAAATGATTGCTATCTTAGTTTTGTTTAGCGCTTTTGATCTCCTGCGATGACGCATCTTGCTATACTTTTAATGTTTAGAAATATTCCATTTGTCCAGCACCGGCCAAACTATAAGCGTACCTTAGGTAGTTTGATATCGTCTAGATCTATGATGCATGTTCATAATTTTATCCTTTCCTATAAAAATTAATTATCTAACAGTTTGATCCAGTGGGCTGTTAAATCACCAATGAAGGTGTTGTGGGCTCCAGCATGTGGTCCTGAACCACGCCGTGGCCATGGAATTACCTCTGGCCCGATTACGCTTGCCGGATGCCCGCGATGAGGGAAAAGACCGGAGAGGACGTGGACAAAACTGGTGTCGTTGTGTCGAGTGTGGGGTTTGCACGTGCGTATTTATAGATCGGATGTGTGAGTCATACATGCACCAACATCGAGACCTAGGTGTGAGGTTAATCCAAGATACACATGCGTATAAATGGAGGGGTAGATGAGAATTTGCGCTGCTGTCGCCATGCTGCGAGAAGGGGAGAGTTGCATCGGAGGCTAAGCGATCAGATTAAGATGTTGAATAAACACGATTCGCAACAAAGGAGATGGAAGAAGACTACAACCGAGAAGCTCAAGCATTTACCAGACAGCTCAATATGCATTGCTAAAATCACACGCAGCGACCGTTTGCCGCGGATTTGAACTAGGGGGGCAATATCTACTGGTGATCCGAATCAAAAGTGGGGAGCGATGAAGATGCTAAGACAAGGAGCATGTGGTCGATTGAGTGCAAAAAAGTAGTGTGCTCGTAAAATTAACGCGATATAGTGAGGTTTAAAGCAATTCTCTGACCTCTGTTGGGGTCACCGATTCCTTGTGACATGAAAAACTTTCGCCATTTTGTATCCATTTAACAGCTCGGTAATGGTATTTGTGTACTGTTGGGTGTAATGTGCAGAAGTAAATTGGCCACAGCAGTTAACCAGGATACCTTGACACTTAACATGCGATAGCATGGTAACAAATTTCTTTGAAGTGGAAAATTGTCATTGCAGGGTTAACAAAACACGCAATGCTTTCTCTGATGGGACTGCTCAGACCCCAACATTAATGTACAAGGCATCGAAAGCCTTTCTTAGAAATACTTCACTCTTAGTATCATCTCAGATTAGGCGAAAGTAGATGCTTTCAACACACACGAGATCTTGAACATGGTAAATGCGTGTGGAATGGACAAAATTAGGCTTAATGACTGCAGTAACTGAGATTAGCAATGTTTTTCACTGGCAATGCGATCTGTTTTCTATAGAAACTGTGATCGATGCATCTCTTAACTTTGAAACGACGTGATCTGCCAATTACGTTGCTTTTTTGATAGCATACCTTATTAGGGTTTAAAAAAATACTGGCTGTGTTCTCCTACAAAGCAACCTGAACTTTTTGAAATTGTTTAAAATCTTTTTACCTGGCAAATGCTGCACCAATTTAGCAGATGCTCCTCAACACAGTAAAACTGCTTTGTTGCCTTTGACTGACTTACTACACTAACATATCTATGAAAGCATACATGTTTTTGGTTAATTATTCCCCTATTTTGACAGCAGTTAATCGCTTAACCCACTAATTGCAGGGAGCAACAAAATGCACTTGTGTTCGTCACGGCAATGATAAACGCTTGCAAATCCTTAACAGATGCCAATGAATAAATTGTTGTGGGTCCTTTTTGCCTGCATAAGTCCTATTTTGCAGACCCCAAATCTCGTAAATCTGAACGAAGACCCAACCATGTCTGAGTGCCTGATATACTACTTAAAACAAGGCAGAACTCGGTAAGCTTACAACTGGTTCCTTCTCTGCTTTATTAGCATTCACTTTGTGTTTTCTCCTGGGTAGGTCCGTTACTGAGGAATTGGCCAAGAAATGTTACAAAGTTGTTTGACCATGCACTTGATTCTAGGCTACGTCAAGCATAATTGCAGGAACGCGTCACGTCTTAACTCAGGTTGTAGCACAACCAATGAATGTAGTAAAGCACTACTCTTGAGGAGAAGGGAAGGGAGTCAAAGTTTCACAGGCACTGCGTTGAGGGCTAGAGTTAAATTAAATCCAAGTAAATATCTTAATCAGTTTTCATATCTTCAAGCAATCTTTGTTACAAACAGCCCGAAGAGGTTTTACTAGCCATGTTTCTCCGATCACCCTGTTGACATGTCAGCACAGATCATTCCTTCTTAAACGTGTGCCTCTCCACTGCCCAGACTAGGTCACTTGGAAGAAGGCAGGGACCTGGACATTGGCCTTTTGGGGAGCTTCATCAGACCGCAGCACTGCAATTTCTTGCTGGAAAATAGTACGTTTAGAGTAGGTTTTTGTGTTTGAACTAGAAAAAAAGAGTTAAAATCGTGACTGATTGAGCCCCGTACACTTATGATTTAGTTCTAAGCTTTTTTTGACAGTCTATAAAACGGCCAAAGTCCAGATCATTTAAAACTTGAATGTACACTTAAATATTTCAACCGCTTTCTAAAGAACACATTGGTCTGACTGATGTAAATCATATAATATTGCCTTCGGTCATATGACGAATTCTGGAGGTAATCATTACCTATAAATAACGTTAGGTGGTCACGTGTGGGACCTTGGGAAAGACTCAAAATAAGAAGAAACTCACGGAAATTAATTACCCACATTAGAAGCAAGGACATACCTTGTGATTCCTGGTAGAGCTCATAATGTAGGCATTTTTGCATGTATTGATAGCAAGTAAGCAGAAAAATTTTTATTCAATGACCACAGTTCCTGAAACCTTTTTGTAGGCTTGGTGACAATCGAACCAATCCAGGACGCTGAATGCTACATTAATGGGAGCCTGATTAAGAACCCAACAGAACTCCAATCAGGTGATCGAGTGATTCTTGGAAAAAATCACGTCTTTCGATTCAATAATCCCTTGGCACGTAAGTGTACTCTTTCTCTCCTTAGTATTCTTCGATGGAGCAACTTCGCGATTGTCGCAACTATGACCAATATCGTCTATGCGAGGTCATTTCTCGTGGAAGTGTTACAACTATAGTGACATGGCTAGGCGTTTTTTTTTAATAATTTCTTCTGGATTTTGGTTCTGTCGGTCTCATAAAAATTCATTTTAACATCGAGGAAGATCTGATATCCCGCATAACTTTTGCACATCACCATCAGAAAGCAAATCAGGATGGGTGGTAAGTGAGTGCTATGCTGACGGACTTTGGCCAAATATGGCCATCCAGTCAGTTTCAAGAAGAACAGAAATCTGGATCTACATCGAGTAAGAAGCTGAAGCTTCCCTAACACATAGAGCGACACTCGATTGCCAAATAAGCAATGAGGAATTCAGTTTCTGCCATGTAATTTCATGCAAACAACAGAGAACTGGTAGGCACTCATCACTGGACACAGATTTGTCCTGTCGGATGCTCAGTCAACAGTTATTCCGCGTGCACCGTAACACCGCTGCTACATTGCACGATTTTTGGACGAGTGGCTTGTTCAGGGCTTTAGTAATGAGCGCTCAGAAAGACCAAATGGAAAGACTATCACTGGTTCGATAAGAAGATCATCAAGGTTTTATCTCACACAGCCTAATTCCGCGTGGATTCAAAATGAGAATTCTATTTTGTGTCTTAATCAGTCAATCTGATAAGCTCAGGGCTATTTCATGCAATGAAGACTGAGGGTGATTGCTGATTTAGTATCTGTGAAACAAAATTTTACATGGCCAAAAATATGCCTACCACGTAGGCAACTGAGTTTTAACTGTTCGCCGCTACTGCCTTCTGTTCATTCCCACTCAAAGGCTCACAGATTTTTATCGCAATTCCTGCTACTGCATAGGAGAAGTTGTATGCCGTGATATTAAAAATTAAAAAGGGGGTTTCAATAATTTAAACATGAAGTTAAATTTGCATTTTATTTCAAGCAACTTAAGTAGTTGTTTCCAGCTGTTCTATGGTATTGCAGTGGTGTGATTCTGGCCTCTCTTGTGCTGGCCAAAGTTTTGTTTGCCAAAAAATCTCGCCAATTTTTTGCAACAAAACACGTTTTTTTATGTCAGTTGGTTTAAATGATGGTTGGCATCACATCTAAACGAATCTGGTAAATGAGTTTGGCGCACTTGCTATGCAAGTAAATCAGGAAGCCCAACATTATCTTTTTTAGGCCGCGATCGGAAGTCGGTTGGCAACGATGAAATGACGAGTAAGTCTTTATAATTAGCCAACGCCTGTTAGAAGTGACGATAGTTGCCGGCGATTGCTTCACAAACTCTGGTTCAATCTTTAGAGTGTGTGCTAACCTCTTCCTGTGAAGTTAAAGGAACGCAGGCGAAGAACATGCCCTTCCTAAGCTATGGACGTTTAAACAAATTATTCCAGACTGTAATGGCATTTCTACTAATTTCAAGGATGTTTCAGTTGGAGAAATGGTTTTATCTGGCAAGGGTGAAGGCACAGTCTCTCATTTCTATCTTGCTGGTACACTTGAAGCGGCTTCGTTATCATCTTACAATCCTCCTAGTTGACTGTCCGTAGCAGGCGGTGAAGAAAGGTCAAACAGATGACAACAATTACAACGATTTACTTATATTTGACCACCCAAGTCCTTTTATAGCAAAGAGCGTGAGTGAATATCGAGCGTCAATTGTAATCGATAATCGATGACATTCGATCAACTCATGAATAAGCTTCACTCACGCCCATTTGACGAAGGTTCAATGCAGATTATCGGGGCTGGGTAATACCCATTCACCAAAATACGAGTCGAATGCGGGGGGAGACGCGTAGGCAATGTACCAAGTGAATTGGACCTTTTATTTGAAATGCAGTTGAATGATCGCAGCATATCGCATGCTTTTGTTATAAAAACACCAATTTGTACACAATGCCAGTTAGTCTGGCCTGTAGTCTACCGCAGTCAAGATTTTGCAGTGCTCTTCCAATCAATTGTCAAATCGACGGTCTTCGAAGATGACGGATGGAGTAACTTAAAAAAGGGCCTTAGAAATGTTACTTATTTTCAGTGATAAGTAGTAGTTTAATTTTGGAATGTCGAAGTTTACAGTCTGCAGCTACAGCATGAACTTCCACGGTCCAAACTTTATGCAAGGACCATTCTCCTTTGCTGAAGACGAACATTTCCATTGGTCTCCACCACCACAGTTAAATCCTCGTCAGTCCTCTTTCTTTTAGCTTCTGTTATCGATTCAAATTAATCTTATAGATCACCACACCTGTTGGCCGAAGAATTTTTGCAAATCACTGTTTTTTTACTTCCCAAAGTGAGTGTGGGCGAAACCATGGACTGGACGTACGCAATCTGCGAACTTCTCGACAAGCAGGGCGTGGACTTGCGCGAGGAAATGGCTGAGCGTCTTCTGGAAATGGAGGAACAGTATCGACGTGAGAGGGAGGAGAGTGATCGACGATTTGACGAACAGAGAAAGGTCAGGTGTTGACCTGGGTGACAATTAATCAGATTTGATTTAAGGTTGAGGTAAAAGCGAAAAAACTGAAGAGAAACACTTTACGACGATTCTTCAGGCTATTTCACCACTCTATTTTTGTTTAAAACATTCTTAATTTTAAAAAAATACTGAAAAATAACTAAGTATCTGTGTCTGTTGAGGGGTTACTAATTTCTATGAGGTGGTGAACCAGATTTACTTACCTAAATAATTACCTCAGCGGTGTGTAAGTTAGTAAGTGGATTTGAAACATACAACTCCGGTACAAACCGTTTCTGTCTTCAACAACAATAGAAGAAAACGTTTTCCAGAAACCCGGGATTAATTGAATCTCTTGGTTTCTGGAAAATTTCTATGTCTGCCAATGCTTAGAATAACCACGACAGCTTCCTCGCTTTCCTTCCCCAGATATTTGAGCTGCTAAGTGTTCTTAAAAACAATCAAATCGGAACGTGTGTATTTTAATCCTAGCATAATAATGTGGATATGCATTTGTAGGAATATGAAGGCCAAATTCAAGTTCTTTTGGAAAAAGTCGAACAACAATCACTGATGAGTTCCATGGTCCACGAAGACTCAGTCTCCGATGAAGAAGGTAGGATTCGTAGTACCTTGCTCTTGAAGGTAAACGAGCCATTTTATCAAAAAGCCATGAAGACAACGTTCAATAAGTAGTAGACGATACCTTGCTTAGTGTCATCTCCATTTGCCTGATTGAAAGCATTCAATTGACTGCTTTGATTACTTGTTTGAACTTTTTAATTCAAATCTAATATATGCGTAACAGTTAGTGCCACTCAAATAATGGACATACACGAAATCTGATTAAGCGGAACCTAGGTATAGTAAAGAACATCACTTCATATCCGCAGTCTGCGTACACTGATGGATAACGCAGTTGAAAATCAGCACCGATGGCCACTCCCAGTAAATGTGCACTCGTATTTATTGCCTCAATTAGCTAGAGTTGCTCATTTCTCTAGTTGAATCACCCCAACCCAAGGATTGTATTGTTGCGACGCCATATAGCACTAACTACCCAACAAGAATGAAGTCTGCGGAAGGACAGGGAGTCAATCGTTTATTCGAGAACTTGACGAAGTCGTCGTCATGTGTGGGGTGTACACCTATGCATTTATACCTCGGATGTGTGAGTCATACATACGATAACATCGAGACCTCGGTGTAAGGATAATCCAAGATAAATATTCGGGCGAATGAGGGAGGAATTGAGGCTGCCGCGAAAAGGGGAACCCGGTGTCGGACGATGAAGCAACCAGACTAGGGTGTGTGAATGAACACGAACCAGAACAGTATAAAACGTGCACATAACCATAGTTTGTTTTGCAAACAGCATCTTATGGGAGGTGTTGTCAGCACTTTGGCAATTGCATTACTAAGGGAAGGTGACTGAACCGCAATAACTAAAGGGAGACGAAAGCGGGGCTGGCAACTAACTTTTCAAAAATGTTTAATATTTTTGATTGATGAGGTGTCAGTAGTAGCTCACTTACCGCCTCCTGCGGTTTCAAAATTGGCCCACAATAAACCCTGTTTTCCGAGTAGACAGAACGAAACTTAGGCTGTCCCATATATTTTACATGCATGGTGTTTTACGATGAGTCCTCGATGTAAGTAATTGCTTGGACAGCAATTTAGGGTGAGTGTTTCAGCATTTTGATTTGTAGAGTTACAGTGGACTGTGCATTTAGTGTTGATTGTATCCTCACAATTTCAGTGGATTCAGTGTGGAGTGCCAGGGAGCACCACCTAGCACGCTGGGCATTTCGACGCTGGCAACGATGCCGATTAACTTCTAGAAGAGTAAGAAACTCGACAAAAGTGATTTGACTTTTTGAACTTGAAGCAACAGTATTAGCCGCGAATTTAACTATCAGTATTACCACAAGTCGGGTCTGATTTCACCTTGGTTTGATTAAATTTTGTGGAGCACCCAAAAGTAGTTTATTCTGTTGACTAGTTTGCAAGAATGTAAAACAGATGTGCTACACTAGGTGCCCTGTCGTTGATTGGCTTTAATTGCAAGCCGCAATTCAAAGGAAGCGTGCATTATAGTCAAATGCCGCTCAATTATGAAGTAGGGAAATGTAGGATCCCACGAGATATGGGGCATTCTCGAATGTATTCATTCAGAATAGCAAATATTTGTGATATTTCGCTTCATATCTTCTGTTGCCTTTGCTTTACTTTAGGATATTCTGTGGGATAATGCAGTTTTTCTAAAGGAAGCAAACGTTATGAGCGTGGAGTTAGGAAAAAAGGTGAGGTTTTGGCATGACAGTAAAGTATTGCATTATTGGGATCTCGATACTACTGGAAACAGTTGCGATAGGTAACGGTTGTGGGTCAAATTTAAGCAATCACAGAACGTTAACGTTGAAATACCAAAGCTAGATCATGTAAACATTGTCAGAAAGTAAACTTCAGCCTCATTTAAACGATTTGGCAGACCACAAATTAATGTGCTTGTGATAGCGATTATATCCAACCTGAATTTGCTAAGAGATCATCGTCGGAAACCGTTGATCTGTCAGGTTGTAGACTGCATTTGGCAGCGATCACTGCATTACTTGCGTGATTCCAAAATTTGCAAAATTGTCTTGCTTCTGTAGATGCAGTATCAGTTTATAATGCTGACGAACACATCCTACACACCAGTCAGTAAAGACATTGCAAAAATGGTGGGCGACATGCGGAATTCCTCAAACAAACTGGACGACGAGACCATAGTGGCCATTGAGGCCGTCAACACAGCCAGTGGCATCAGCTACAAATGGACACTCGAAACCTTTAGGTAAGAGCAGGCGCCTGATTAGCTCAGGTGAGCATCTCGTCTTTATAAAAAAAAAGGAATGTCAGTCAGCGGATTGCATGGAGACGTGATTTCTAGCCAAAACAAGCACTTCCAATGCGACTACTTTTTTGACTTTCACTGTACTACCTTCTGGCTTTAAGTAAGTAGATTATGAAATATGTCATACGCGCTCTGGGTATCATGATGATTGGTATTTTCTAGAGAACGCCTTTTAGAAATGAGGCATTATTTTCGGGTAGAGGGGGACTTCTCAAACCTCGCTGCGCATCCACCCGCCTCCGCACAGTGTTCTTTAAAGAGAAGTATACTACCGGAGTCCTCCGAGTCATCGACATCTGAAGTGGCTGAAATGGACTATCAGACACGCATGGAATCCGACAGAGAAATTGATTATAGGGAAGAAGAGGAATATTCAGACACAAACGACCCATTTTGCGATCGATTGTCGTGGTTCCAGGCCATCGGAAGGTTAGTGTGTAATTGTCATTGATGTATGAAGTTGGTTGCACGAGTAATGTCCATTTTGTATCACAAATGTTTTACCTTGTGTTATGCCAACGTTATATCTCCTGTTATAGTCTGGGTGTCACATGTAGCAATTATACAAATTTCACGAAAAATATTCTCTGTTTTATAACTAGTGGCAATATTTCAAACATACTTTAGAACATTTTCGAAGAATATCAGTCTGAATTTGTGTATTCGCCAACCCATTTGGTATTCCTTGAACATCGGTCTTTAGGAGAGTGCTTAATTAAGGATGCTGCGATATTTATCAATATGGGCCAGAAACAGCACCAGGGCATTTGAAACATAATTTTCAAAGCTGGCGTCGTTGATGTAGAATGGCTTAATGTAAGGCGTGTGTTCTTTCAGATGCTTCGTTTACTTGACTAACCTCTACTTCGACGTGGCTCACGAGCAGGAACTGCAGCTTATCGACCGCGACGGAGACCGTGTGGGCTTCGTCCGTGTCCGCGTGGAGTCTAGCGGCGAGTCACCGTCGCCACGCTCCCCCGCCCCCCTCAAGTGTCCCTCACCCCTCTTCGGGCCTGCCTCGCAGGGAGGTCAACGCGAGGGGCATTCGAACCTGCACTTCGCCGACGACGAGTACTTTAGCTCAGAGGTTCGCGGACTGCATTCGCTTCGAGTTCATGATAGATCTAGAACATAAGATTTTTGTTGAGACCAATTTCCACTGAACGGATCAGGAAATTCAGTAGTTACACTGCCGCGTTATCAGTTTAAGAGCCACGAATTGACATTGACGTCTACTTTTTAGTGAGTTTTAAGACAATAAATCGAAAAAGGACAAGCACATTAAGTTTGTAATGAGGTTTTAGGGTATTAAATTATGTGGGTCTCACACCCACACCAAAGCAACTGAATTTGTTTCTACTATAGCGGCTTGGCCTGACATTGCTGTGTGCCCCAGAATGTGGTCTTGAACCACGCCGGGGCCACGGAATTAACCCTGGCCCGCGATGAAGCAAAAGACCGGAGAGGACATAAACAAAACGAATTCGGTGTCGTTGAGTCGTGTGGGGCGTTTGCGCATGTGTATTCATACCTCGGATGTGTGAGTCATTGATGCGCTAACATCGAGACCTAGGTGTGAGGATACTCCAAGATAAATATCCGTGTGAATGAGGGGGGAGTTGAGGATCCGCGCGGCTGGCGACACGCTGCAAAAAAGAGGGACCCTGTGTCGGACGCTTGCATGATCAGATTGACGATTCACAATGCCATCAAGTACCTAGGGGAGAATAAGGTGACCCCAGTCGACGTGATCTCAACAGTCCATTGGACAGCTGAATTTGGGTGTGTTCGGCCGTGTCGATTCCTGTGTAAACAGTTTAATTCTACATGCAAGCATGTGGGTGGTTCACAACGGGAAGCCATTTGTTGAACTACATGAGCGGGGTTGGTTTGCTCAGCAGGTGGTCGGAAGAAATGAATAAATATGGTGGCTAACTATGCTTTGCGGGCGTGAATTAACTAGCGTTACTACAAATCTCTCCCTGAATGAGAGGATGTGACAAAATCTTTCTTTGCACAAGCTACTTAAAAGGTGATCAGCAACATAACTTGATTTGTGGTGCATGTTGGAAGATGAGTGGTCACTGTTCACGGATATTGTGGAGTTGATGCTGTCGACACACCGTTTTATTTCTTCCCTGTTTCCGAAGAGTTGGTTGAGAGTCAGTGAGACGAGGCTCTGAAGTCGAGGCCATGTTGAGCAGGATGAGAGAGTCTTATGTGGATTCACGTCGATTAACCTAGTCGACGCAGTCTCAGAGACATGTCTCCATCCGAGACCGCGTGCTCATTCACCCCTGGTCAATTACCTCCAATAACCGCTTTGTCCATCCGACCATGCGGTCATTTGTACACTAAGTAGGTCACCGGAATTGTATTACACACGCACGACTGTGCAACGCACACATTCATTGTTTGGTCGAGGTATCTAGTAAAACGGTCGTGCCTCGTCCTCTCCGTCATCTTCATCTACCCTCGTATCAGGGTGGCGTAATCGGACTAGTAACAACGCAGTGTCTCCGGCGTGGTTTAAGACTACATACCGAGGACCCTGTCTCATTCAGCCGACTAAAATCAGGCGCAAATACAACTATTTAAAAAGCCGGGTGACTTGTAACCTACTCTCACACAGCTATTCCCGAATTCTGCTCTGTTCAAATGGTGGTATAAGGTGACGGTGTACTGCACGACCACCAACCATTTCTTACTAATTTGTTTATTTTGATAATTGGCATATGCGTAAAAATGTCAACACATGCTGTGCCTTAAATTCGGTCGAATTTTAACTGAGCCGATCTAATTGGTTTGACCATGAAAATTGCTGCCTCTGCAATCAGCAGCCTTATTTTAGTATTTTGACGAGCACCTTCCTTTCTAGACAAATGACAATGACTTCACCGACAATTTCGCATTTGGAAATGTAGATTACGCACCGATTTCCGACCCTCTAGCAACGGTGATACCGAAAGAAACCTGTAATGGCAAGACACCGAAGTTCCGTGATCGACAATTTTTTCCTGCTGATAGCACGACCAGTAAGTTTATTCATACTTGCAACATTTAAGTAAGTCTAATTTTTGTTTTCAATTTCTTACTGCGCTTCGCGTTAACCTTAAATCAAGCCAGATTTACTAACACAATGCTGTTATTTTTACATGAAGCTAAAGGTAGTTTAGATGTTCAAATTTAATTTACTTTAGGTGAAACCGACATGCTGACAGAGGAGCACGCCAAATTGCCTTGGTTGTGTGAGGAATTCCTTCCATCACATCTACGCATTGGTGGTAAATTTAGGTGGACAATCACTATACTCGAGATTCAAGATATTCCACCTCACTTTTCCGATGTTTTTTGTCAATTTTGGTAAGCAAAACCCCGCAGTTCTTTCTGAACATTATGATATCTTAAAAGGCCTTGTTCCGTTGCTTGCATAAATTGTAACTTATCAAAAAGGGTTATCACGAAATGCCTAATCATGGAAATCTTGTGGAAACACGTTCCTAAAAAAATAGGCTTATTAATTAAACATGTAGAAAAAATCAATATTTAGTGGCATAAAGATTGTAGAAATAGAAGCTGGTTGAACTTAGATCGTGACTGCATTCCCGAGAATTTTCGGTGTGGGTTAACTAGTAATTGGTTATGTTTTTCTCATACCGGCCGTTTGCGAGTCAAAATCAAAGCTTTGACAGGTGTCTTAGCTGCTGAATTCGCTTGGTCAGCTAACAAGTCCAGACTATAGGAAAAATATCTTTATTTTGGTTTTGCAGTTCCTACAACGCTTTGTCGCATTTTCGAGATTCCCTTTAAAATGTACACTTTTGCAATCATCCACAGTTTCAACTGGCATTAATTTAACACATAAATTTACTAAATTACACCAGCTAATGCCGATGTTGGTGTGTCAGCATGACACCAGAACTATGCATTTTCTGGCCACGAAAGCTCACACCAGGAGCCCGTTGAAATGGTAGCTAAGACTGTGTCAATTTTCAAGGCATCTACATGAAATTACGTTTGATTAAAACCAAGTCGTTCAGAAGATGAGTGTTTTTGTCCACGAATCCAGTGCCTTGTGGTCGCGACGAAGTAGTCCAAAGCACTTTTCCAAAGCTATCCACAAGAATGTCTAAAATCTCCCACATGCAACAAATTAGTGCATTCGTGCTTTCCTTTTCGTGTCTATAAAAGGCCCAACTTTTCCCTCCGTAGGGTTTAGCGGTAACTCCAAAGAACCAGTGGGCTGGCTTTTTCAGCCAAACTATGCCATCCAAACGCAAATGCGCATTTTTCCCTGCAAACTTTTCGCTGCGTGAAAATGGCTGCTTTTAAATGAGTGAGGAAGGAAAGAGCATTAAATATGTGAGGCAGTTGGACACACTTGATGCATCAAGGTTGTGTTGTGACATACATTGTAGACACTGCCAGTAACGAGCAGTTTATGTCGTTACTACATCCCACAACGTGATAACGTGAAATTTTTTAGTGGGTTAGAAGAAGTAGTTAATGGTAAGAGTGCTGCAAAGGAATTAAATCAAACAAAACCAAAACTGCATTTGAGGTTTTAGCATTAAAAGGTGACACGCGAAAATTGTAATTTGCTTGAAATTTCGGTGAATGCAACCCTCAAAGTTACCATCACCTGTCTCGTGCCACTTTCACTTAGAACGTAGCTATGATAATTAAAATCGATAGGCCCTCTCTGTCGGTGTGTCTAGTAGACGATGATCTCAGGTTAGCGATTTCAATCAGTAAAGGCGTTTTATGGCGTCGTCAGTTGATGGGACAATTCAGGGGGAGGGGCAGTACATCAGTGGCTGCTGACGCCGCGGTTAATTCAATCCTTAGAAAAAATGGGTCTGTCTGAGTCTGTGTCTGGCCATCCACGTCCACCCCTCCCCCCACAATTACGCTAATTTGCGTACTCTGTGTCAATCAGGAAACACCGAAATTGTGCATTCCGATGCGTGTTTAATCTTAGACTGACAGTAACGCGACACAAATTTTGATAGTATATGTCTACAATGAATGTTGCACAGTTACGTGACTTTTGCCATTATTGTTGTAATAACGGACCTAATCATCATGCTAATTCAGTGCATTTACTTTTGCTTTAACGTTTCGCTCATAAAAAGTCTTTCACACGAATCACTCACCTAATTAAGAGACAATAAAATTTTGTATTTATCTAGTCCAAGTGTAAAGACGTTGTCATGTGTCAGGTTTAATATTGAACTCATACTTTTTACTAAATGCGCTTTTTAATTTACTACTTATAGTCGTTCAAAATGCGCAAATGCCTGATGTTTTGTATTAATTTCATTTAATTACACGTAAAAATTTAGGTTCCCTAACAAACCAGATGAAATTTATTCGACTGAACCAATGCGCGATGTGAACACCACGAAAAAACTGGAATTTTGTCAAGTTCAGAAGGTGGGTGAATTGAGCAAATGTTATTATTATGCTAAGAATTCCCGGATTAAAAAATTATGGCAACGTGAAAAGTAGATGTCGAATGTTTGCAGTAGCCTTTGAATTCTGAGCGACTCATGATACGTGTTCGAATAAAGTCGGAAATCCACAAAATATGCCTTTTGTGGTGCTGAGATTCTTGAAATGAACCAAACGACTGCATCAGTGGTGCGATAAAATTTGACAAATTCTGAAGAGCATATTATACAAACCAGGTGGAACTGTTGACAAAAGCTAACCACCTTATTCCCCAGGGTAATATTGGTAGTCAGGGGAAAAACACCACGAGCTAATTTCATTTCTAACGGGGCAAATTAAACATATTAGCATAGAAATTGAGTTATTACACGATCACTTTTTGCGCTCTCAATTTGGTTTTCTTTTTAATTTTTAGTTTACTGTTAGTGTTACTCGTGCCTTTGTGGATTTTTTGATGAGAAAACCCCTTACTCTTGAGGTTTTTGGTCATGCCCGAAGGGACCTGGCAATGCAACGTCTACGTAAACAGGCGATGCTTTCTGGCTCGTGAGTCCAAATGATTTTAAAAGCAGTGCAGGTATTTTGAAGAACACTTCACTCCAAATTATTTTCACTCATTAACGTTTTCATTCATACTGCATCCAGTATCATTTAGCATTTTATAACGTTGTTGATGATTGTTGTTAATCTCTAGGACGGTTCAATCTACCGCATTAAATTGAGGATGTCTTTAGACGATGTGTCTACTTAGGTCAGTTTTGATGGCCTCAATGTTGAGTAGTTTTATCCACAAATCAAATTCTCCATTGATGTATCATTGTTTGGGTTCCTGTTTTTTTCTTGACTTAATGTTCGAAAATATCTAAATCTCACTTCTTAAATTTAAACTGTTTACCCTTAAGCATTTTGTGCAACCCATTAATTTGTTGCACAATCGTTTTCGACAAATACGGAATTGCATGAAATTCATGTCGTAAAAGTACATAAATTTTTTTCAAACTCTGATCGCTTTGACACGAAAAGTTTTTACTAATGATCCAGTGTCGCAGATAAGACGTTTGTCATAGTGCATGCGGATCATAAAGAAAAAATACATTTAAAAAGGGAGTTCGTTTAAAATGTATACGCAGGAGCACTAAGCATGGCTTCACGCTGATTTCTGTTCTTGGTTAAAATTTAATGATTGACCCGCCATCCTCCACTATGCCTTACCTGTGTTTTTTCAGCCATTGTTGTACTTCAAAAAGTGCTGCCTCTAGATGTTGGGCAATTTGTAAAAAAATTTTTTTTGATATCAGTTTCGACTCCAGTTAACACCACATTCTTGTTGATTTCATTAAGTATTCCACATTTTGGTCCGCCACCGGCAACAGAATTGCTGATTTTATGTTTTATTCAGTGCAGCCATGTTTTCCAATCCAGAAAAATAAGTTAACCTGAATTTATCTTACTTGTTGCATCTGTGTTCTACTTAAGCTTTCAAGAGAATACTTTAGCTACGCTTCAATCTCTTTCATTTTACAACGTATGCTAACGCTCTTGTCACATCTTGGCATCAGCACACTAGTAATCTGCTAACTCTAAAGTGGACGGCTTTGAAGACAGCAAGAAATATTCACGAGTGAGATGGTAATTATTGTGTTTTATTGTTACAAGCAGTTGCTGTAACTTAATTTTCCGCCGGTGTCTTATTGTTGGGGATGCTTTAGCACGCCCACTGACTTACTAAACTTTTAAAAAAAAACACATAGTTGTCGTTTTGTTTTGTTAATTTTACTAGTTGTCTATTAAAACACACCAGTTGAACTAAATTTCCTCATTTGGAAAATGTAAAATTGAAGTTAAATGGAAGCATTATTCCCAAGGCATTTTGTTACACATTCATCACATGCACTAGATGTCGTGCCCCCCTGCGACGGACTATAATTTATAGCTAAAATTATGCTAAAGCTTAGTTTTTCTTGGTACAATTGTCTACGAGAAGGACCTACAGACTGCTTCAACTGCCTCAGTCCCACAATTTGCATCTGCCACACAAGTAGCTGGGTATACCAACTTCGGTCCATCGGTAACTCTCTACAGCTCTTCATTATGCGATTACAGACTGCTTAAATAGACCACATCGTAGCCATTGGGAAACAATTTTGGTGTTCATACAAAATTCACAAGTGCTTGCAACTGCCATTTCGAAATCTCACCACCTAGCCTGCTAAATCTGGAGGTGAATAAGACTGCAAATTGCGAGTCATCTCGTGCCAAAACGTAAGAAATCTGCAGCAGGGAAATAAAAATGTGACGTAGTTGCATTGTTAATGAATACGTCAACAACAAATTTCACAACCTGCATTACTTGTTACTGTCTAGGACAGTTGAGGCATTAAAATACATCCTAGCGAAAAGATTTTGACAGTGCAGTTGCATTGAAACACACCTAATTACCCAGCACATCTTATTATAATTTAGTTGTAAATTTTTCATCAAATATGTCTACTGTTGGGTGTGTGTACCCTACCGTTAATCTACATTATCTTTGTGGGTTGGTTCACAATTCACAAGCATATACAATCATCATGGTGGTGCAGATACAGAAAAGTGAAAAAGTTGGCGTTATTTAAGCACCTCTTTAAATACGTTTCAGATGGGAAGACAAAATAAGATCAAACTAGGAAACTTGACAGTGTGGTGTCACTTCATTTTTGAAAGAAATACTGCACACCTTTTGACTGCGAATATATTTTACGTCAACTGTTGCACGTGGTGTCGAACTGTAACACCCAAGTAGTTATGTTCGGTGCTACGTAAGTTTTCTCCCGGCATTTATTCGAGTTTAATTTGTAAGGTTGTACACGCATAGCTGTAATGCCACCTCACCCAAAGGCACCGCGCACTGCCTATTAAATGAATGAGCCAAACGTCTAACTGCACACCTGGCTACAAAAATGGAACCGTCTAGCCGGATAAAATTATGCAGTGACTTCAAGTACTCATGCAATTTGAACATAAAAGTTATCGAAGAATAAAATTTTTGAAAAAATATGACCGTATAGTGTAATAGAAAAGGCTGCGTTCGTTTCTATTCTGAAACTTTATTGCAAAATTTTAATAAAAATTTGGAAGTTAAAAAAAATATTAAAGGTTCTAACCTACTTACCGAAATTCTCTAGCTTAAATTAAATCTAGTGGGGCCCCAGCATTCCCCGAGACGGCTCTTCGCGGGCTAAGATTTCGTCGTTGTGTACGCAATTCCCCTAATCACGCCACTTCAGTGGATGAGTCATCTACGGCACCCTACTGACAGTTCCATCTGTGTCAATCCGCTTCATTCATCAGGACTTATATGAGTGGGTGCATTCAGACAGATCACTAGTCTTTCACTGAGACATTAAAAGCCCTCCACACGAGGCCCTGCCTTGTCTTGCATTAGCATGAGAGAGTGGAGTTGCCGGCGTCTGATAAGGGATCTGAGGTACCGGTTATCTGAAGGAGTGTGTGGCCTCGACTACGAGCAGAACGTAACAATTCGCGACGCAGGTGAGATTCGAACTCACGCGGCGAAACCCCAATGGATTAGCATCTGGACAAAACAACGCAACTCCAGCTCATTACATGATCATGCTTTGAATGACGTTTGTGTGATGTTGGCTGTAAAAGTCACAGAAGAAAATAAGCGAATAAAGCTGCGGAAAAATGCCATCTACAACTTTACTTGAATTCCTCCACAGTGGTTAGAAATGCAACCTCTAATTCCCTACTCAAGCTCAATGTAAAAAGTCAGGTAACAACATTTCCAACTAGCAAATAGACTTTACGACGCACGTTTTCCTAAAATTCAAGTGAAAATGTTTTGAAGAAAACCTCTAGTAGGGAAACGTTTGTGTTGTGTCAGAATTTCACTTTGTTGTTGATCTCCAATTGCAGGACAAGTTGAGTTAAAAGTAACAATGAAATTTGCTTTCATATAGTATTGTTTTAACATCACATACATGGTTTTCTTATTGTCTTACAAAGCATTCGGTTCTCTTTGCCCCACTTTATTCTGTTTATTCAAAAAAGAATGTTGTCACAATTATACCGTTTCAAGAAATTAGACGAAATTGTTGGTGGTGTCTTCAAAATCATTTACTAGACTTCGTCACTGGGCGCTCAATCAGTGTATAATTTATTTTAGAAATCAGTTGGTATTTTTAGCACGCAATCATTCTCAGCTAATCATTACCTCGTTAATATTACATGAGAATTCTTGTCGTTTTGTTTTACAAGAAGATTTTTGAATGAACAAGTTAACCGCTGCCACCTTCACAGCACAAAATATGCGTTAAATGCCCAACTCCACAACGCTTTAAAAGATCAACTCTTTCTTTCCGAAAGTGAGCGACTTGAGCACTAAAAGGTAACACCATTGTCTCTTAGCTGGTTAATAAATTGGGCACATTTCAGTTAGAGACTCACTCAAATCATATACCATCATTAAGGACGATTTAAATTAAGCAGTGAACTTTTGACATGTCAAACCCATGTTACTAAGCGTCTAGGCTTAGTTAATAATCCCGAACAGGCTATTTATTGCAGAAACTATCATACCTTCATTCCTAAATGAAGTTAGAAATTGAATTTCACGAACTCAAATTGGTATCAACCGAAGGTCGACAATAAAATTGTTAATGAAAACTCATTCAAAGTTAAACCACAGTAAAGCTCTACGAAGTAATCGTGTACTTGCTCTTCCAAGTACCAAAAGCATCAGTAAACAAAGACATTGAACAAACACAGGTGCATCCACTTGTGAATTCGCGTTCTAATGCAGCCAATGTTGTATGGCTGTAACAAGACGATATTATGTGCAAATAATGCCTGCGAATGAGGTTGAACGTTTGTGCAAAATAACACTTAAGAAACAGAAAATAAAACATCTACGAGATCAATAAGGACTAATTTAAGGTTATCTTGTCTGCTGATTAATTTTGAAAAAAATTTTGATGTTATAATCTTGCGACTGCAATAAACGCCGAGCATCTTCAAGTATAGCACGAAGTTATAGTCATGACAGTAAATGCAAGGTACCCTTTAATAAACTAGTTATGAAACACAAAGTCAGAATTTATTAAAGGCACGCTACTTGGGGTTCGCAAATTTTTCCTACGTCTTAAATAGTGTACGACATTATGCAAGATTTACTATATCGTTAAATCACAAATATGAGGAAAGTAAAATTCGGGCATTTCAAAATCCCACCTTTGAGAAGTGCTTTTTTTAGCAAAATTTACTTAGAAGTTGTGATTGTGAGGTCATAGTAAGTTCAACTAACGCCACTGACCTCGTGATTTGTTTGGCTACTTGAGTGTGTGAAAACCTGAAAAAAAGCCTCATGGATCGTCACACAACAACGGCGAAGCAAACAAACAATTTGCATCATGCTACAACAAGATAATTCCGCGCATTCGTGTCTTTAAGCAAAAACATTTGGCTCCACGTAAATAAGGCAAACGTTGCAGAGCATCGTTAAAAGGCGTATCTATTATGATGCAAGACGTCTACTGAATGCAGGTAGATTTGGAACCAGATAAAGCACTTTTAGAAACTCATGGCTGGAAATTGATGGTGACTTAACCGTCACTTAATGCCACTCAGTTATTTAATTAAGAACCATTAACTCACGATCCACTGACACCACCACTAACTGATTTGATGAAATGAAACAAATAGTAAACACTCAATACCACTTTTTAAAATGTCACATTTCAGCAAGTGAATTAAGACCAAGTTGCAGTGGCAGTATTTTTGCAAACACCTGTCCTTCACCATTTTTTTAAATAACTGAAAAGATAGGCATTTTGAACAACGTATCTTACTACTTTAGTTTTAAACTGTTACCTCAGTCGTGTAAGATAAAAATGACAAAAACAGCTGATGATTTGATAAAATGGAACATCATCCTCATGACGTGACAAACGTTGAATATCTCCAATCACTGAGCCAATGGCTGCGTGCATTATGTTTGCAAATTTCCTAGTTTGATTACAGGGTGGGTTCAAGTGTTCCATCAAGTGTTGTGAATGGACGTGGCCATTTGCACAATCAGTCTAAAAATTAAACGAACTACTCATTTTGGTTATGCAGTAGTAAGTGTGGGGGACAGAGGGTCCATTTTGTGGTTTTAAGTACGAGTTTGTAGCACGTGTGTACGTATGACCGCGTAGTGACTGAGCCTTAACAAAATAAGAGATGTGGAAGAGATTTGCGTTAACATGTAAACTACAGTCCAAGTAAATTTTGTACAGCGGAATAATTTTGTCGTTTGAGCGATTCTTCGAGGATACCGTTGCAAGGCACAATAAATGCAGTTTTTTGATCAGATGTGGTATATAGGCTGATGCATTGTTTGCGACAGTTACTTTACTACTAAAGTTCGTATACCAGTAAGAGGTGAATTATCAGTTGCTAGATGTAGGCATAGTATTATTGTGCCACGGAGGTGAATTAGACACGACGACATTTGTGGCCGTTTTTCTTAAAGAGTGGATTTTTTGCTTTTAACAGCCATATTTGTTTTTAAAATCTGTCAATCTTAACCCCATAACTGTCAGGAATTTAGATTGGCGCGAGCAAAAGGCAAACTCGTACACTAATTTTGCTGCGTTTAATTTCTAGAAGACCCAACTACTCAATTCGGAAGTGCTTGCCTGCAACACTACTTACATCACCGCCCGTCCCGTCACGCAAATGTGACCTGGCAAAACAGACTCAGGAGTGGGTCAACATCGATTTGATTGTAGTGATTGTCACAGTAAAATGTTTGCTAAATTGTCTAATCCGCGACTTAGAGCAATTCCATAAATACAGATAGTTTAATGCTGTACACGTTAGACTTTATTACTCGTAGATGTGGAGAAATTGTCAGCAAATAATCTAAACAGGAAAAATTACATATGCAAGTTATTTGAAAATAAGGCCACTGCGGTTTCATCCGTGGAGGAGTGCCGCTAAAAATGCAATTTCATTGAAAAAAAAAAGACTTTTACCCATTTTTTTCTAGAATTCACGTGGAAAGACACCTGCCTACTTGAATTCGCTTTTCCTTTGTAGGGGAAATTTGATCTCCCAGAATGACTTGCTAGTTTGGTTTGAAATTTTCGAGCTGAACGATGTAGGAGAGTAAGCACAATTGTTGTTTCTTTGTGCTTTGTACTGTTGTTTTTCGACATTCCGGCGTTTGGTAATCAAGCACGTACACCACAATCGTGACTTAGGTGTTCTACGCCTCCATGCATGAAATCATGAATTTAAACAAATCGTATTATGCTTTTATTTTTTAAATCCCACACACCTTGTATTACTTAAAAAACACAAAAAGGGTTTAGTAGGTGTACTCACGAAGAGAAGCCTTGAGGGCAAACTTAAGAAACCTGCGGAAAGTGTGTTAAATAAAATAACTTAGCAAAAGGTACTAGTCAACTTCCTATTTCATTAACACTTTTCCTCCAAGTAACTTCTACTTTGGTTTTTCTGCCGACTCCTTAGATGGTAATAAACATTAAAACCATTTCATGGTATTTTGAATAAATTCTGTTCTGGCCAGAATCAAAGAAGTGAAGCCTGTTGGTTAAAACGGCAGTGGACGCCGTTCAAATCCACGTTTATAGCTCACATGTGGTCCTGTTCTCTATTGAAAAGTATATGCAAGTCAAATGACAAATGCGGCATTTTTTGCTGTTTTTTCGTTAAGGTTTATAACTATTTCAACCCCAAATTTCTTGGATTTTTTACCTCGCATAGATAATTGAACGCCAGTGCTGATAAATAGAGAAATATCCAACAATGGGACCAAGCGTTTTTAGGAGTTTTGAAAAGGCGAATTTACTAAAACCAACAGGGAATAAAGAATTTTGGGAGGTGACAACAAAATGCCTTTTTCCAGAGTTACAGGGGGTTTGAATTTCGGCAATTGAATTCATTTTTCAAAGGCTTCTCAATAGTTAAAGCTAATTTTCATATGTAACAACCTATTTATGTCGGACAGTTTGTTATCAGTGCTTATATGTATAATGATAACACGCTCATTTTTTAAGGAAAGGGGCATTTTTGTGGAGCGCATTGAGCAGCCAGGCCAGTCTGGAGGTCGCCTTGGTTTATTTCCCTTGCGTTTTATAACTGAAGTTACTGGGTCTACTAGAATGCTTCCTTAACATCAGCAACCACAATGAATGATTGTGGAATCATTAATGACTTGCGTAATCCGTCATCTATTTTCCTTTGATTATAAAAATGCATCGCAACCCACGCAAACGAAGCTCAAAGTTATACAGAGTTAATTGCCTAGACGTGGTCTTTTCATCAAATGAATTCAAAGCGTTCTATGGTGCCAGTAACAACGCGTTGGTGTTTTGTGAAAATTGGGGAGCCACGGTGTGTTAACTGTGTTTTCATGTCATCATTTTTCTGGAAAACTAATTTAAAAAAATATTTCTGCAACCCACTTGCGGGTTATGCATGGAGATTTCAGCTCTAGCTTGATTAATTTATGCATAAGTGAAATTCCTTTGCCTAGAGTAATTGAAAATATTTCATTTCTTCTGCCCATGAACGGCATATACACCAGCCACCCTCAAAATATGCCTTTTTGTTAATCAAAAACAGTAGATTTTATGCAAATCAAGGTAATGGCTTCCACTTAATGTTGATTAGTTAAAATTAAATCCGCTACTGCTCTTCTAAGACATTATTCTGCAAAAACAAATGCTATTACTATCCATGAATAAATCTACCATAGTCCACCGATCAATCGTTCGAGTTTAATAGGCAAAATTTCATTTTGTGTCTAAGGTACATACCGGTTCCAGTTCGTCAGTCGGATGTTTCACCAGGCCAGGGTGTATTCATGCTCCGACAAGGTGTCCAGCGTCGCATCGCGGTGACAATCATTCACGAGCCCCTAAAGAACGCATTTTCCGACGTTACTTTCATTGGTGTGCAGGAGGTGGTGGTTGGGAGGGCAAGGGACACGCCGGAATTCCACTTCTCCGATTCACAAACCCGCATTCTCTCCTTGTCGGTATTTCCCGTCAATTTTCTCCCACCTGCTGGAGACGACAGGTGAAACTTCTCATAAGACACTTTTTAGAAAACTGCGCCACTGCAAAAGGCTAGGCAGTAAGGTCTCTGGCTGCTTGAGCGCTATAAATCAAACTTTTTTGGTTAAAGTGGATCGATAGATTTTCATGTTCTTTTGGCAACTTTGGGGACAGTTTCAGCGAGACTGATTTTGAAATTCTTCTGAGAAATCTTGATGACACATACCCAAAAGCATGAATTTTCCGAACTCATAATTACGGAAGAAGTCAAGGAATCAGAACACTGGAACCCAACACCTTGACACTGGAATTAATATTTGTTATACTGTAACAACAAAGGTCCCGCATGGCTCGCATCCATGAATGCTAACTTGGGAAATTCCAAGTAGTCATAGTAGGGTTTACTGAAGGATATATTAGTTTTACACTCATAGATACCTTTTTTACAAATAATCCGAGCGCTTCAAAGTAAAGGCTCGGCCCTGTTGAGACTTATTTGCCTAAAGTTTTTGAAATATTGACCAAATCACTGAAAGGAACGTTTTGTAGTATTTAATGCAATGGAATTTTTTACTGAGTACTTTGGAGAGCGCAGGTTATAGAACCCACATAAATTTAAATATGCGGTAATACCATGAATTTGTTGTGAGCCCTAGCATGTGGTCTTGAACCACGTTTGCGCCATTGAATTAAGCCTGGCCGGATAACGCTTCCCTGATACCCGCGATGAAGAAAACGACCGGAGAGGACGCGGACCAAACCGTTTACTTCTGAGATCAGCCAATTTGGTGTCATTGAGTCGTGTGGGGTGTTTGCGCGTGTGTATTTATACCTCCGGTGTGTGAGTCATACATACGCTAGCATCGAGACCTGGGTGTGAAGATAATCCAAAATAAAAGTTCCTGCTAATGAGGAGGGGGTAGTTGAGGATCGGTGCGGCTGGCGAAATACTGTGGGGAGGGGGACCCTGTGTCAGAGGCAAAAGTGTGAACCAACGTGATTCACAACAAATTCAATGGATTGTACATTACTTGGGCCAGCCATAACCGATTCTACTAGAAGACAAATTGTTTCAATGTGATACTTATTAAATAAAGCAACAAACTAGCCCCTAAATACAAGTCATAAAAGTTCAAAAAACGACATAGTATTCTAGACCCTGAAGAGCATCAAACGCCTACCATGTGGTTCAATTAAAGCTACGAAAAATTCGATTGGCCTAAATAGCAATCTTTATTCAGTCTGATAGTCTCAGCAGGCGTTGTCTCAGGTAAAATTCAAAATTTAGCCAGGCGTAGACATTAGGCTCACTCTACAAAAAGTAGCTCGGATGAATGTCGATGCTAGCTACCTGGTTTTTTGTAAGGCGGATCCCTAGTAATCGAAATGGCTATTAGTAGCTTCCTAAGCATGCTTTTCCGTTATTGTAGGATATTTTTTCGGTTTGAAGCTGCTTGGGACAGCTCGCTTCATGGCTGCAGCTTTCTCAACAAGGTGACGCCAAAAGGTCAAATGGTCTACATAACCATGTCGTGTTATGTGGAACTAGCCCGTTGCCTCGATACAGTCTGTCTCACCAAAGACCTGGCGATGGCTATCTTTCCGCGTTCCTCAACCTTTACAATACCAAGGTGCCAAAGATGATTCTACTTGCGATTTTTCATGCCTTGGCGTATTTTATCTTAAAAAAGGCCGACAACTTAATCACAGATGACTCACCACAAAGTTTTTATTAGTAAACTACAATTGAATTCAAGTTGTCAGTCTGCGTTAATGCTTCATTAAATTTCACATTTCGTATGCAATAGCAACAGGTCGATATTTCAAAAGTCTGAGGTGCACGAAGCGGAGGAAAAAACAGCATAGCTGGCTAGCGTAGCACTTTTAAAAACCAGTTATTCGTACTTATTTTAACTCCAGCCATTTCATTTAACTTAAATTGCATGATTCTTGTTCGTCTGACATTCTTGTGATTGCAGCATGTTACCAACTTGCAAAGAACGATTGCTGTAGCTTATCAAGAGGACACCCAAATTAACCGAATCTTCTGTAAATTCTTTTTGATTCCTGAAATCAATTATCGATTTCCGTTTTAAACTATGCAGGCCAATTCGCTCGCTGATTGGCTCGTTGTTGAATCAGGTGGACCTTCGGCATGTGACTGGAATGTATGATCTTCAATTTTGGAAGATACCAGATAAGCGTAAGTTAAATTGCAGAGAATTCACTTTAATTTCAAAAACTGCCGCATCTAATTACACTACTTTTCTTTTAAAACAAGTAGCAAATGTACCGTTGAGAAGACACAAAAATATATCAGAAGAATTACCACAACTGTTAAACTTATCAGTTGATAAGGAAAACGGGTTATATTTTATAGTTGTTGCGCAGAATTGTACAAAAAGTTAAATGCCCCTGAAACGCTTTTCAAAAACTAATCATTTGAGTGGTATAACAGTCACCAGGTCTTTCAGGTTATTACCTATCATTTTGTCAGATACGTATAGCACATGCAACCAAAGGCAGTTGAAATCAGTGTTTCGCCACAGCTTACTGAGGAAATGAAGTCGATTCTGCCAGCAAAAGTTTGCTGTGAAATGTAGAAGTCCAACGACCTCACTTTCCGCACGAATTCGATTAAATGCTTCCATTGAGAAGCAAAGCTGTTAATGTTTGTTTTCACTGCACCACAAAGCAACCATGCAATGAGAGCTAAGGGGGGAGTCATTGAACCAGACATGACCTTGATGTTTCTCCTCATTTCAGCCAGCACTCAGATTTCCACCAGATACTCGACAAGTTCTACTTATGTACGGGGCGAGGAAAATATTCGTGGTTGGCGGCCGCGTAGCGATTCCCTCATTCTCGAACATCATTTCGAACTGGAACGTCTCCGAAAAATAAGAGAGGTATACGGCCTGTCTTAACTTTGCTATATTAGAAAAAAAACTTCACAAGAAATCTGCGAATTCACTTGTAAAATCAGCACCTTCATATCTCAAGACCTAATTTTCCAATTGTTCGAATAATGGAAAGGCGAAGATGCTCCCAAATAAAGATTTACCTTAGGATTCGCATTAAAATAGCTTGGTTACATTGGCTATAATTGCAAAAAAAGCATTTTGTCGTGCATCCGTATCCTTATTCAGAGTTCCAGTCTCGTGCCTTAGTAGATTGTTTTTCCTAAAGGCAAAACACAGATTAACAATTGTCCTCATTGAATGGGACGACATTTCTGCAGATATAGAGTGAAGCATAGACGTTTTTACAAAAGGCAAAAACCGCTTTTGCAGCGAAAACCCCAAAACATTAATGCTTGCTTAATCATTTAGTCACTTTGTTAGATCAGACAAACAGTCTAGTAATTTACTAGCACACTCAATACCTTTATTTATTAAACTTTGGTACATGAAATTACTTAACGTGAAAGAAGAATAACCTTGCCAATGCATTTGCTAAGCTGAAATAGGGTGCTGTAATTTTTTGTAAAATAAATCTGCATTCTGGAAAACGTAGGTTGAGAAAACAAGGCAATTTCTCAGTCTACGCGAGGCTCTAAAGGAGAGAAAGCAAACTGACTCCTTGCAGCAGCTTGATGAAATTATCAAAAAGCTTCAGACTGGCTATTCCCACCGCCTACCTTTACACTCCAGACGTGAAATTTCACCTCCGAATGACACTTCTTGCGAGTACGTTTACTGCTTCATTGATTATTTATAGTAATATGGAGTGATCGTGGTGTGCCATTTAGTTGCGCAGTTGGCGAGAAAGAAGGTGAACGTCCACTGTCTGCATTTTGTACATCTTTGATGCATTACCTTCTTCGAAATAACTGAAACTATCTACAGTTGAATATAAGAGCCCACGGCACCTCGCTATATTATGAAGGGGCTTATCTGGAAATTTCTATGCAAAATTTACATTATGCCTCATCATGCATGACCTGCCTACACTGCGGTGCCTAATACACTCGCAATAGTTATACTTTCAAACGCCAAATTACGAATTAACGATGTTTGCTTATGTAATTGACTTTAGTGCCTTAAAGATGCCAAAAAATCGTCGTCAGAGCTATTACTTGGTCAAATGAATTGTTAGAAGCGAAGTTCATTTAAGTACTAAAACCTGACGAAATTTCCACAAGTTAATTATATCATCGAACACTTTTTGCTAACGTTGATAATAAAATCAAACAAAAAATTAGTTTTTGGTGTGTTAAAAACAGCAGTTCCCTATCGCTGAAATCCCATTTACCCGATTCAAATCAATAGTCTCATCCTAAACCTAATTAGGCGGATTTTCTACTTGCGCCATGTCTTTCCGAGTTACAGGTATTGGTTAAGCTAACCGAGTCAGGCAGATATTATGGCGTTCGACATTACAACAAACGTATCCCCCTAAAATACCTTTATCCAATTATTTTAAGGACGTCTCTGATTATAAAGCTTTACGAATGAGAAAATAGGAAATTTATCATGTCATGCCAGATAACCTACAGTCTACTTGGGTTAAAATTTAGTGGATAAATTATTTGCGCTTTTAGAAATTAGACGGTAATTGGTTTAGAAGGCCAAAGTTTCATTGCTTTAGGAATTTTTAGACCGGTGCCGATGGTTTAACTTGCTGCTTATCTCAAAACAATCAATTTACTTAATTAACTATTACTTCATCATTTCGGTTTTGATCATTGAGATGAAGGGCTACGCCTGTTTGGCCGAGTCTAATACGGGATTTGCAAATTCAGGCAGCAAACTGCGCAAACTTTCCTGGCTTAATTCGTTTCAGTACTTCTATATTTCAAAAGTGATATAACTTTTTTTTAAACCGCCTCAGGCGCGAGGGCATGGTCTATTAAACTTTTCCGAATGCCGATCGGTGCTAAGTTAAAATATCTGGAATTTATCCCAACTACCTATTTCGAAAAATCAAAACTCACGTTTACTGTTTTTAGGCCTAACCCGGATACAACGTCACAAAGAGCTATACGGCCACCTTCCTTAAGGCTTGACCAAACCGATCTGACGAATTCCAATGAGACGTGTCTTATAATGACGTGTTTACAAATTCTGGGATTCAAACAAAGGGTAATGTGCTTTGCTTTCATGGGACTTGCAAGAAATATTCCTCATATTCAAAGTACAAGCCTAGTGATAATTAATTTATCATCTCTGTTGGAACTTTTCAACACTTGATAACTACTTTTTGGTGATATTGTGTTGTATAATTGCCAAGAGTTAACATAAGGGCAATGTGATTTCGGTTAAGTTTAAATTTTCCCGTAACAATTGCAAGTTTATAAATACGTTTAAGCAGTATCATTAAGCGTAAACGTTCATTGCTATGGCGTGTATATCATCCCAAATTTATTTTACTCATGTACGACTAGTACATTCACATTTGGTTGCCTGTTTCCTAAATCTAGGCTTTGTCTTAAAATCACAAAAAGTGCTACAAGTGCGTAACCATCGAGGACATGCCACTTAAATGTTTTAAAGCCATACGATCTGGCACTATACTATTTTTTTAGACTTTCGATGTTAGGAAATGAAACCTGTAACAGCTGAGTAACTATGGTTTCCTTACCTACGTCGATCACGTTAGGAAACAAATGTGTCTGTAGTTATTTATGACATTTGCTAAACGTTTTGTCCAAAAATGGCAGTTGACAATGTCTATTAAACCAGGAATTCGGTTTCAATTTGCTCGCGCAGCGTTCTGTGGATCTGGAGTCTTTTTTTGGAAAAACTTGCGCGACTACGTGTTCACCCAGGAACTGTGTTTCGCTACTCTAGTTACTTTAAACCCCATTTGCAGACATATATATAACGTTTTTTGTCTTTGTGCTAAGTTGACCAAAGAAGCCACCACTAACACCAGATTTTTGTTCTGACAGACAAGCTCCGGGGACTACGTTTCAAGCCCAGTGGAGGGCCATTTAACAGGCGGATTGGACAGCGACTCATCACTGACTGCTAGTGAAGAAGGCACTGCTGACGGCACGTTCCTACCTAAATTGTTTATCATAAAGTAGACTGCGCGTTCAAAAATTAATGATGAGGTCGGTTTGTACTCTACCAGCACAATGTGAGAACTGCAATTGGCAAATTTCATTCGTACAATACATGCACATTAGCCAGTTTTAACCCTGATTTAGCTAAGAACTGGAACACCGTGTCGGTATTAAACATTTGTTATTGCCATTTTAACTGGCCACAACTGACTTTGTGTTGCTCAAATGAAGCCTGCCGAAACCACTGTCTTAATTAAAATGCGAAATTTAAAATGCACGCACTCCGTAAGTCGACTGTTACGACAGCATTTGAAATTGGCTGCATTTATCACACTGCACCTAGTGTTTTTTGCTTTACCTGTTTTCAATTAAGGCATATTTATTTCCCTAGATGTGTTTACGGCAACCCTAGACATGCCCACGGAGTCAGCGTTTGTTCAATGTGGAGAGATACAGCATGACATGATCTGCGCACGATGCGATGAGGTAAGAAAACTTGTGTCTGATTAATTTTACTTTCTGTAACCCATAGTTTCATTTTTAATTTATTTGAAAAGCTATTGACATGAAGCTTATAAAAAAAACTATTCACCCGAGGCCATTCTGTTTCTTAATTCATTAATACAATAAATGTAAGTTATGTTCATGATAAAATGTAATCAGGGCTTTTTTTCAAGCCACTTGACAACTTTGACCAAAGACGACCTTCAAAAAGTGAAAATTTCTTTATTTTGCTCAACTGACTTAAAACACGAATTTGATTTAATTAAATTATTCAACTGACACGCGAATGTTCCATGACGACGCTATTATTAGCCACTCAAATCATTAAATTTTTTAATTAAACAAATGTCATGTTGTAGGAACGTGGTGCATAAGTAACGTCTGTTTACAGGATTTTTTATTCACAAAAAGTACGTTATGAGTAGGTAAATATTTGTAAAACTAGTCTCCCCATCGAAATCGATTGAAATTTACTACCTTCACAACCGAAATTGTAGTATCAAAACAAGGGTGAAATGCAGACATTTAAAATGGATTTTGTGTTTCCACAAACCTGCCATTCAGGTCATGCAAATATAGGTCACTTTTATGTTACAAATCAGCTGATTTGAAAGATATGGTATGCTACTAAGTTTGTACATCTTGTGTTAATTAAAAAAGAGTTGTTCTCTTCTTATAAAGGGTAGCGCCGTGGCATTAAATGCGGAAGTTACCATTGTAGCTGTTTCATCATTTCGGTCACACTTTTTGTAGGCTACACAAAATTCGATTGCTGAAAGATGTAGAGGATGATATGACTAATGTTAACACAGAATCAAGCACTGGGTCTGACGTGCTGTTGCAATCAACCAATTCTGCGAAAAACACTTTGTGAGGATTCTGTTAGACCAATTAACTCAGCTACGTATTTACGAGATCAGCCTAATTGTTTGCGACCAACCTCACCGTTTTTCACACGATCAAATTCCGCGCGACCTCGTATCACAAGTGATTGAACCACTTGACAAATTGAGTGGCTGCATTCTGGGTGATCGCCATAATGCACCTGAGGCTAATCATGCAAACGCAGTCCGTTCTGCCGTAAGTTTTTTTGTCACCGACACTGGAGTACAAAGTGATTATCCCAAAGCTGTTTGAGATCTGCCATTCACAGTTTACCCCCATTTGTCCTTATTCCAGCAAAAATTACTTAATTAATGATGCACGAATCCAAGAATGGAGATGTAAAGAGGTAACCCAAGGAAGGGGGACATAACCGTCTGTTCAGTGACTGCTCATGCCTGGGTATGTTTATGGCGCATGTGAACGCGGTGATTAACTGAAGGCTACGTTGATTCAAGCCAACAGGTAGCTTGAATAATCGTGTGAACAGGTTTTGCTGGCAGGGACGCATGCACTTCGAGCCCATCACTTTAGCCTGTGCATTTGGCAGCAGCCATGCCCCGTCCGAGAAGGATTGTTTCCCATTGACTCATGTTAATTTTACGATTTGCTTTAAAAGGTCTGGTTGATATTGTTGTCGCAGCTACTAGATTGGGATTTCAAAGTACTCGCTTGACGCCTGCTAAGCTACGTAGTCCCGTTGATCGTCGAGAAACAAAAATCCAGATTTTTACCCTGGGCTGTTTACACGGACTTCAAAACCTACTGAATTGTTATTTCAATCGATCCTGTGGGAAGTGATTTGTGAAAAGAAATCCAAATGTTTCTTGAAAGAAAAGATCTAGATTTTTAGAAAAGAGTTTCTAGACTTAGCAACAGTTACCACTCATTTCGTTTGTTTGTATTTATGGTATCCAAATTAAATTTGCTTTAACTCTCAACGGCAAGGTAGCGGGAGAAAAAGACTCGATTTAGCCTGCTAAATTATAGATGTGGATAATAAATTTATAGGCGCTAAGAATTAATACCTTTTTGGTATGCTTTTGACTTATCAATGAATTATAACTGGAATGATGCTGCTTTCTTCAGACACCCTGAGTTTTTTGGAGGCCATTTTTTAAAAAAATATGTGCACCACAAATGCGTCTTTAAACGTGGTTTCCGATTCGGAGGCAGGACAAACGGTATTTTGCTAAGGACATCTGGTTTCATGCAATGCAGCGCAGTTTTCCCTTCCAGCAATGAATTTTATGCATCAAAACAAAACGATGGTATAAGCAGCGTTGATTTGTAACACAATTTCGAGAAACCCAAAAAAACATTGTGACATAAAGCCTCCTGATTTTTTGGCTAACATGGAAAAAATTTGGCTGGTGGTCAATCAAAGAAGCGCAATTCGAACACACTAGTCTACCCTCGATTTACGCTTTGCGTGGTGTAAGTATTCGTATGGAATGTGACTAAGGTGTGAAAGAAGTCAAAACACTCACTATTTCCAGTCTTCACTCTTGCTCGTATCCACAATAACATTAAGTATGCGTTCATAATACCAATAAGGAAAATTCGGCTGAATTTGTCAATGAAAATAATCCCAAGACATTAGTTAATTGTGACAAACAGAAAGGGTACTACAACTGTATCACCAAATGCCGACCTAGTGGCCTGTTGTGTTATTCTAAAAATGAGGTTATATGTAGAAATAATATACTCATTATAGTTGGCAATAAATTCTGTTATTCAAACGATAATGTGTACTTTTTGCAGACTACGTACGATGCAAAAAGCTTGAAAATTGCAAATGCGATTCACTGGAAACATTGCCTTAGTTGCACGAATTAATTACCAATTTTTTATCCTGGCCATCATGTCGGTTAGGCTAAATTTGTGGTTTAAGCCGCTACTTTTGCAAGATTAAGCAGTAAAGAATGAGACAAGTGCATGTTATGTGGGGTTTCAGTGTGAAAATGATCCTAAAAATGTTGATCGATAAAGTTTTCGTAGATCGCCTTTTCACTACTCATTGTCCAAAAAAATCCCAAGGACAATGATTTAAAGCTAGACCATGGGTTTCGTAGTTGAATATGACCAAATCAATAAGGTTTGACAGAGTAAACAATCTATAACCTGTAATTGTCGATAAATGACCTTCTTTATAGCAAACAATACATCTTAGATATTAGTCAGTTTAGCCTATATTTTGCTGCATCAAATGAGTTTTTTGACGGAGGGAGCCTATCAATGATGCACGATGCTTAAAAACCTATCTTTTTTTAAACTGGCTACTACGTGATCTATCAAATTAAGGTTTTAGTTACCTGTTAGTGGTCTAAGTTGGTTGGACACTGTTCAAATAATTTGCTGTATGCAAAACCAATCGTGCTGTGTTGTCCTCTTCCTGTCCTCACATTCTCTTTAGAAATTCATCAGAATCTGTCAGTTCTCCAGATTTTAATTCTGACATTATTTGACCATAATGCGATTGTCTTGTTTGTCTTTGATGTGCACTTATACATTTCTGCTACAGATGGAGTGCTATTTTAATTGTAACAGTAAAAATCTGCATTGGATCATAAATTAGTGTACGTTTTTTTGGCTCAGTTCATGCGATTCGATTGATGATGAATATGTTCACACCGTACACTGATTGCTATTTTGTACCCTTTCAACTACGAGAAATTAGGACAAAATTCTTCTATCGTTTTTTACACTTGCTCTCAGTAAAGACCCATATGTGCTGCCAAACGCTCTTAGGTCTTGGAAAGCCTTTCTAAGCTCTCAGAAAACCCACGAGCGTTTGGTTCATTCACGGTTGGCATTTTAGTAACGGGTGGATCGAAAGCAACACTAAAACAGTTTTGAGAAAAACAATTTTAGTGTCTAGAAACCGTTGACAACTATTACAACTGTAAATTAATCACATACATTTGGCTGGCCCTCCAAACCTTTATTTTCTAGCAGTTATAGCCGTTATATTTTCATGCCCGTGCTACTTAGTCGTGTTGGTTGCTGCCTGCAGACTCTAAAATACCGTGTCTAGGAGAGCCTAGTTTTGGGCAGGAGTGTGCTTGGTCTGCACCTGGCGTAAATTAAACTACCCTGTGTTTGGTTGGCGGGTTATTAACACCGATTTCTTATAAAAAGTAAGCTGTGGGCTTGATGAACAGCCTTTTCGGCTCAATGAGTTAATCAAGCAATGAATCATAAATTTGCATTTAAAGTTACAACCAAAAGGCACTTTCTTCTTGAGGTGATTAGTTTATTCGTAACTTCTATGTTGGTTCAATTAATTTAACTGTTAAACTACGACTACCATCACCACTTCATAGCAAAACGGCGACGGGAATTTACAGTTTGAGGTACACGGTAAGCAGATGTTTAAAAATTTGTGTTATAATAATTTTTTGTGGTTTTGGTGTTTTTGAGGGATGGGCATTTGATTTGGTCGCAAATTTGTCTTCATAATGACAGGTTAATTATGTTAAATCAATCAAGCTGCCATTTCTGGTTTTCAAACTGTGCTACTGCATTGGAGGAAACTCGAAGCAGTCTTCTCCATGCTGTACTTTAATGGTTCTGTAACCTTGGACATTTGTTCCTTTAAATTTGTAGAAACGACATTACCTTTTGGTATACACTAATCTTTTAGTTGCGTAGCTGATTATGCCGCGGATAAATTCACTGCTTTCAGATTTGATTCACCTTAGACATCGTTTCTCAGTACTGCTAAGTTGCATTCATAATTATATCACCTATTCCAAATAACTGGAATATGCACTAAATATTTAAGCATTTCTGTATCTTGAAGACAGTTTTTTCCTTGGTACGAGAGCAGTTCTGTAAAATTATGCACCAATTATGCGAAATTAATCCAGGCTAGACTAACGTGCTGCGAGACCACTAACCCATCAATCAAGCCATGGGTTTTCGGAAAGGGAACTGCAAGTAGGAAGGACCAAATCTGCATTTACTGATGAAGTTCTGCATGACTTTCGTATTCAATGCAACCATATTTATTACTTTGACGTAAATGATAATTTCTGTGACGCTAGGCCAAGACCGTTAATTCGACTAGCGAAACCCACCGTCTCAAGCCACGGTATTGGTGAACGCTGGCACCTCATACGTGCTAGCGCTGTGAATATAACTATCACCTTCTGAATGAAATTCCAGTTTTATTTAAACAATATGATAAAGTCAGTGTCCTGGGACATCCAATTAAATTTTCTTAATGCAATTATTTTATATACCGATTAAAAGCCTTACAAAGTCAGCCCCTGGTTGTCGTGTGTAAAAAAACCCATTCTACCTGCCTCTTTGAGCTTCCAAGTTTTGGAGTACAAAAAAGAATACCCCAAATGCCATTTTTCTTTACTGCACCATCGTTAACTGCGTAGAGGGTTTTTAAGAAACCTAGAAGCATTTATGACTTCTTTCCCGAAATTATGTCTAGTTTGTAGCTTCCGCGTCTCTTTGCCAACTTTGCATTCGTCAGTATCTGCGGAATTAAATATCAAGATGCGTTTTGAGCTATTTAAAAACCAAATGAAAATCTCCTAAATGTAGAGTTTGACAGTCATTTCTGACCTCATGCTGCACAGTCTTGAACCCTCGTTACAAATAAATCAGATTTAAGGTTGTAATTTTAGGTGCGGATTAGTCCAGTGGTCAATCGAAAGGGTGCGCTCCTAATTTCGGATGACTTGCATCCAGGTTGGGTACTGCGATGGATTGTGGTGCGTCGTCCCTTCCTCTACGTGTACGAAAATGAAAAGGATACTCTCGAACGGAGAATCATCAACCTCACGAAAGCGCAAACTCAGTACAGGTATTTGCCAATATGTGGAAGCAGGATCTTGTGGGTGTTTTTGAACTTACACAATCTGATTACCATGTTGCCACCGATGGGTGCCCCCGAGTCGCATAAAAATAATTCAAGGCTTTGTTTTCTCTTCAACTGCGTTCTGCTTCGATCAGTACTGTATAAGATTTGCTTTTTACCAGCGCGGACGAAGCTGAAATATTTGGTGGAGACGTGGTAACTCCGTCGAAGGCTGACACCTTCACTGGCAAAACGAATAGTCCTTCATGCCAATCAGAAATATTTGCTCTTACTACGACTGACAGAAGGATCTTCATGAAAGTAGCACCCGGCTGCAGCAGAGGTGAAATCCACGAATGGCTGTACGCATTCAACCCTCTCGTGGCTGGAGAGATTAAGTGAGTCTGAACTTCGTTTTGAGGGCTTTGGTGTACGGCTTGCACAAGATTAATTGAGAATTTCACAATGAAAAACTCAAATTTGTGCCAAACTTTCGAACCTCCTATTTACTCCGAGGTGTTGTTTTAACGCCACATCAAAAACGCCTGGTCTTGGTGGAAGCGATTTTGAAGAAATCTGGCATGAATGGTAATTAAGCTCTAGCGAATGTATACTCGGTGTTGTCGCCAGTTTGTTCTATAAAAAGGAAGCAGCAGAGATTCCACTCTGGTAACTAAACGTCAACAACTCTGAGCCCGTATGTGGTGTGCGGAGTTAGGGTTTTAAATCCCAACATTTGAGTGTTTGAGTTGCGACAGCTTAATTGCATTTTAGTGTTGGATTAGCAGGGTAGCAGATACCAGGAGAAGATTTGGTTTTGGTAGGCCCCAGCATGCGATCTCGAACCATGCCAGTGCAGCTGAGTTGTACATGATTACACTACAGAGCCACCCGAGAGATTGAGAAGACCAGAGATGGCGGGACAACCCTTGAGTTGAGAGTTCAACTCAGTTGTGTGGTGTCATGTTCGTGTATTCAACGCGGTGTCCTGACTAATGCAGTTATTGACCAATGCAGCCTGGGTAGACTTGTCGAAATACAAATGGCTGGATGGCTAAAGGAGAAGGGGGAGGTGCTTATTCAAGGCGTGTGAGCAGATGATCCCGCATGGCTGACGGACACGCTGCAAAAGGGAGAGGGGTGGTGTTTTGGAGTTCGTGACAATCACTTGACGACCTTGAATCAATACGATTCATTACTGTGTTAATCGCAATATGTCTTCACTACCGAAACGAGTGTGCAGCGCTATCTTCCTTTATCTAGCTTGTAATTGTGTTGATATAGCATTTGCCGTTGTGAATTTTTCACTAAGACACTGGAGACTGATGAATCGTCGATAAGGTCGCTTATGGAGCCACCTGGTCACCTCGAACAAGTCAAAAGTTGGTTTGTATTGAATCATCGATATCTATAGCTAGGAGTTCAACTGCAACCCAGGCGATTAGAACTTTTACTTATTCATCTATTAATTGGTATGTTTTGGAGTTAAGATGGAACAGCGAACGTGTGTACCTGCTAGGGCCAGACAAGGAGGATTCGTAAGTATTGCCTCATATTCCGACATTGTCACAAAAGCAGAAGCTAATAATTTAGCTCTCAGGCGTTACAAATGGTATGTCAGCTTTGAGGGGGTTACCTCCCCTAACCTTTAGCACGTTTGTCGTGTTGAAGGTTTGCCTTCCAGGCAAACGGTGAAACTCAGAAACCATTTTTGGGAGAATAACATGAAGTACTAAACACCCAAATAATATGAGATGGAAATGAAAAATTCCATCTTAAACAAAGTGTTGCATAATTCTGCGTAGTAAAAATGATTATTTTGGAATAACCAGTCCACGAAATAGAAAAATATTTTACTCGGCTCAGAATATTGTGCTGAAGTGGTTTCCTGTTCACTAATTTTTTTGGATTGTTTTCAGCTGACTCCCGATAAAATATTACTAAAGATGTAGACTACCTGGAATCCGCCTTAGCTCCAACAATGAGTGTGTTAGAGATGAATCCGTTAAATACCCATTTAGATTTAATTTTCGTGCTTTTGGCAAAGGTCTCGATTACTTGACTCTATTTGCTGGCATAAACATAACTTCAAAAATTAAATGTTTAAGTGTTTTTTTCTGTCAAACCTATCAACAAGTTGTCACAAAACAAAAGATCAACTGATAGACAATTTCTGATAGACTAAAGGTTGGCATAATTGCAGTTCTGTAAAACACAGCTTCCCAAATACACAGAGGTCTGCGGCTTGACTATCACAGCAGATGGTTGGGGAATAAATTAGCATAGGTAACCTCGCTGATCACAAAAACACACCTCAGTTGTAAAAAATTCCGGGAACCAATTTTCAGCCTACACCAAACGAGACTTGAAATGGGTAGATTCATGTGTCTCCTACATTACTCTACCTACGCCTAATACCGATGTCTGCTTGGATTCAGAATCATCTAAAAAGGTTAACTGATATTTAAAATCACAAATATGGGTAAATTCATAAAGCTGTTTGCAGTCAGAAAACTGCTAAATTTGGTATCTTGAATGACAATGAACTGAAGGATTAGAAGCACTCACTGCATTCGCACACTATTCCAATAAATAGTCATTTTTACACAATAATCATGCCCTAAGGTGAATAAGCCCTTAAAAAATAAAACTGTTTTTGAGTACACCAGCATTCGACTGTCGGTTTTCGCATTGATTTTAATGGTCCAGTTAATTAGCACACTAGGTTGTTGTGCTACAATAAAGTTTGACAAGTATCTTGGACACGCGAAAAATGAATTATCCCCAATTAAGCAAATCCTGGTCAAATCTACAGACATTCCTGAGGAAACAATTTATCACGATTAGACAGCCTAAGGTTGTAGAAAGTTTTTTCAACCCAGTTTACGACGTTCAGCTTAAATTAAATAAGCCAAAATGTGGCCAGCTAATGAGCTGTCACGATCACGCCCAGTCTATTTGAAGCCGCAGTTTAAGCAGACATCGAGGTAAAGTTATTTTTTGCTTTTAATTCTGACTGAGTTACCATATAATTATCCGATGCTTCCTCGTGCTTTATTTGTACCAAAACCGCAGCGCCAAATTTAATCTAACTGTTCGTAGACTATTCCACGTCGGGAAATAATTTACTGCAAATTTCAAAATCCGATAGCTGATGCTTGCAACAGAGAGCCCATTAATGTTAAAACTATCACATGGCTAGAGCTACTTGAAATGTAGCACGCACAATACATCCTTGAAAGTTCTGGACTATAGAAATGTTGCTACAAAAGGATTGCACCCTGGCAATCAGTTTTGCGCAATCTGAGAGTTCTTGTGGTATCAGCGTGGTGGCCGCACATGTATCTACCAGAGTTTCATGTTTCACTTAGTCATTTGACAGCAATGAATGCAGACCCGATTTCACGCTAGGAACTGTCATGGTTAACTTAACAACTATACAAACACTGAAAAGTACAAGATAAGGTAAAGCGTGAGCTGCTAGAAAAGCCAGCACAAGAAAGGAAACATTTAATCAGTGCAAAAAATAACTAGGACATAAAAATGTCACGGATCATTACGATGGCATCAATGAACTACCTGCATCCACACATCCGTCGACACTAAGGCAGTTGGAGCTTATGAACCCCGCATTAAAGTTGAACCGGTAAATTGCTTAACACTTCACAGGGGTAGACATTTTAAATGTATGGGGAGCCCATTTGAGTGTTCTGTTACCAAATGAGAATCGTTAGTGTCTGGGTATGTTTGCATGCAAATACACTGTCCACTTTCCAGATTTAGCGTCAATTGTATTGTGAACACTAATCAATCAACAGGTCGCCACAAAAGACTTACTTGTGGCAAAAATGAGTACAGAACAGTCTATCAAAACTCCTCTCCATAATTGTTAATTTTTTTTAAATTTTTGAATTAGGCCGCTAGTGGGTGATATCATTCACGACAAAAACAGTTTTTTACTGTTGCGATTAGGTTTGTTCGATCCAAACATAGTTGGTTTTTACAGAATAGAGTAAACAACCAGAGTTAAATTACTTTACTAAGCATTTAAGTCCAGTATTCGGATAACTTGAGGAGTATGTAATGTTTTTAATGTTGCGTTTGTTAATCGATTTTGATTTTCAGCAACTATTTTCATTAAGCAATGCAGATGTCACTGCAGTCTAAAATGCTAGTTGGTTGCTTGCGAATTATCTCTAGAAACTTGTTTGACGGCTCCAAAATATTCATATTTTATGATTCGATACGATAAAACAGATGAAAGAAGAAATGAAAATATCGTGGCTTTTAAAACGTCCACATAAGGAAACAATTCGTACAACAGATGTGCAGCTTTTTGCATTGTTTGCATGCGCTGATTTATATTTTAATTATTTCAAAACAAAAAGAAAATCAGCCTTCCACGTTTACCTAAGTGAAATATTAAGTTGATGTTTAAAAGGTCTGGTAAACAATCGTCCTATGTGCAGGAAATGGGTTTTATTGTTTTTTCACGACAAAGGTGTGCCATTAAAAGTTTTGGACAAAGCCATGGACAAAATATCAATGTTCACAGTTGTGCTAACCAAATCTCTGAAAAATCACCTACTAGCAATGCGCACCAACTATATCAATGTGTGTGTGTGTCTGTTTGTCGTCGTCCACTATTTTCACTGGTCTTACGCAATTGTGCAATTACACGTTTGGAAACAAATGCGTAAATTATTATGAAAAATATCAATGCTGAAAAAAGGTTAAAAGTGGATTAAATGTGACCTCGCATTTTTGCCTTAAGCCGATTAGTATATAATTTAGGCAAAATACAATCAAGGATATGTGAATAGAGAGCGGGCACTCTTAATGACTGGGGCAGATGAGTTTCTAGTTTGTAATTTTAAAATTTTAATTACAAGCGTCTAGTAATCTTGTAAAGAACTAATCATTCTGAAATTGACCAGCTTAACCCCCCATTGTTAGGGTGATTAAATAATTGTGACAGTAAAGGGGATTTTTTTTAAATTGTATACCGTTATGAACTACTACACATATAGAAGTTGGTCGATTTTGTTTCAAGGTCAAAACGCAAAATAGGTAATGCCTTGGTGACTATTAATGCATGTGGTTAAAGAGGTTCTGTTGTAAGAACTGATCACAGCATACACAAATGGCTTAGATTTCCAAAAAAAGCATCTTAGTGATGATTTTTTGTCAAAAAAATATTTGGATGTACAAGTCATTGGTGAGGTGCCAGGTGTAAAATCCAAAGTAAAGAGCTAAGTGTTGCCAAAATTGTTTTATTCTGAATAAAAGAAAATAAATAGACGATTAATGATGGCGAATAATGATTTTTTCGTTACTGTGTGCAACCTCAGCCTCTGCTTATTACCAACATTTCTATTAGGTCGCTGTTAGTGTTACTTGTT